TTAGGTTAGCCATAATCCTGTTGTATCTTCCACCTCATGCCTTCCCCAGATAACTCCAGACTTCAGAAGAAGGCAACCACACAGTATCTCATAGACCAAAATAGAGCTTTTTATTTCCAAACAAAGGGCAGATACAGAAAAAAAACCATAAAACAACAATGAAAACATGAAATTATCTTTCAGAATATTGCTGCCATGTAAGTGAAGAAGAGGCAGGGAGCTCTAAGCAACTTTACAACAGCACCAAGCTGGGACCGGAGGACTCACGTGGCCCTTCCCACAGAGTTGAGAGGCACTGAGGCCCTCAGTCAGCTCTGGACTTGATATGAACCGAGATAAAACACATATGTTCCAAGACTGTCATTTGGCTCCAATTCTGCCTGCCTTCCCAGAAAACTGAACTTATCAAAAATTCATGTTTTATAATCACAGAGACTTGTGACAAGGGGAGATGGTCCCTCTGTACTGTTTACACAAGGGAACATTTTAAACAATGAATTTGATTGCTCTGGACACCAAAACACACCTATGCAACACACATACACACAAGCACACATATGCACGTAAACACACATGCACGCATGTATGCACACACGCATGCATGCACACTCACACAGAGACATGCATGTATGCACACATGCATGCATGCACGCTCACACACAGACATGCACACGCCTTCCCTGTCCACCTCTTTATCCCAGGAGCTCCAAAAACTTGCCTGACCCCCGCATCTTTGCTCTTCTAGAAGAATTTGGCACCACACACAGTGATCTCTCAATGCAACTTCTGCCCTGCCTCTGCCCATGACAGCGGTGACACGAGTCTATTTCCAGCCTTGCCCCTAGCGCTCTATCCTGGTGCTCCCAACCCCCGCTGGCAATGGGAGTCAAAGAGCTTGCCAGCAGAGTGGACACAGGAAAGGAGCTCTGCAACCCCTGCACAGGAATGGCACCCTCCATCAGGCTAACCGGGTTCGGGAGTAACAGTGGCCAGTGGTCCATAGAGGAAAGAAAACAATTGGGGCATGAGGCAAGTTCCACAGTGGCAGAAAAACGTCACCCCTGGGTTCAAATCCTAAATGTCTTACTTACCCACTGGCTGGCTGCTTTTAGGTAGGTGCTAGCTCTGTCTGGGCTCTGAGTTCGGCACCTAACCCTAAGTTCATGACTCCATAGCCCAGGCTTTCAGGAGCTGGGCTGTATTTCAGATGCTTCCTCGTGGGTCTCTTCTGCTCTCTTCCCTCAGAACTAGAAGAGGGGCTAAGGCTCATCTGCACAGTGTCACCAGGAGTCCAGGTGGCCTGACTGCTGAGCTAGCACAACAGCACTGAGCAGGGACCGGGGGACTCACATGGCCCTTCCCTGCACAGCTGAGAGGCACCAAGGCTCTCAGTCAGCTCTGGACTTTGAAAGGAAGCTGGCATCTCTTGGGAATCTGAAGTCCTCTGCCACTGCTGTCTCCTGTGCTCAGAGATGGCTGGGTACCATCCTGTGAGCACCTATGATGTTACCATGGGAACCAAAGGCAGGCAGGTGCCTGGAGGATGCTGAGTCTGTGGGCTGCCTATAGCGCTTGTGCTGGAAGACCCCAGGCTTTTGTCTTCGGTTAATTTTTTAAAACAACCCCCCCTCCTTGATCTTATGTCGACAAACAGTGCCTGGGGGCTGAAAGGGAAATGTCGGCTGATCTTAAGTCCTTCAGTCGCAACCCTGTGATGGAGAGGCCCTGGGGTCTGTCTATGGGGTGACACTGGGTCCCAGTGACCTGCTAGGTTAGCACTAGTCTAGAAAGCTGTGGCCCTTTTTCCCTTTCCAGGAGTTGCTCTCAGGAACCCAGTGTAGCCATGAATGACTGAAAGCCACTGGGATCGTCCTGGAAGATCTGAACACAGAGCAGGTGGCAAGCTCAGCCCAGGCTCTTCAGGACAGGGGAGGGGCTGCCTCTGCAGCACAACTCTTCTCTCCCAGGTTTCCAGGGTGGGCGTTCCCTGAGTAGATTCAGGGACTCCTGGAACCTGGCAGGAGCCAGCGGGCAGCACAGAGGCCATTCTTGGAACTTCAAAAGGCCACGCCTTCAAGTTCGGCTAAGAGAGCATGAGATCCAGATGCAGAGCTCAGAATAAGCCTAAGATTCAGGTTCTGGCAGTGGCTGACACCCCTAGGTACCAGCCTGGTCCATTCTACTTTTCTTCCTTGCTAAGAAAAACTGACTTCTTACTGGAATGTTCTAAAGTTAATGTGGGGGTTGGGGGAAGAACCAGGCAAGTGTTTAGTCTTTTCAGGGGATTAGGATGAGGGATGAGGGTGACAAGCAGGTACTTCCCACAGGACAAATTAGCAGTAACACTTGGTGTGTTTTTCGGATCAGGAAATCCATTCAGGCTGTAGAGCAAGGCTCAGTTATCAACTACTCATGTCTACCATGGGCAGGTTAAGGAAGGGAATGATCCACTTCTCTCCTCTATGCTGACCTGGACAAAGTACAAGACTACAACAAGGGGAACAGAAGAGCCTCCATTGCAGGCTGACCTCCCTGAGAGAGAAGTGGGGTGTGATCCTTCCTGGGTTGTGTCTAAAGACTTAGATGTCTACAGCCATAGGTAGCCTCCTGCCAGGCCCCAGTGCTCAGATCCCAAGGATCTTCCTTGAGGCCTCTAGAGTCCCAGCCAGTGAGCTTTCGTCCTCCTGCAACCCAGGCCCTGTCTCCTGCCCCTCATCTGACTGCCCCGGCATATCCCCTCTGCCCTGTAGCCACAGTCACATTTAACTTTCAGAGGCTGTGAAACACCCTCCTACTCATCCCCAGGTCCCCTGGGTCTCCTCCACGGCCCTCTAGCTCCTGGTAGGTTGAGTACATGTGGGAGGCAGATGAGCAAGTTAAGGGTCAGGGCCCTAGTCTGGGTCTAGCATCTTTTTTTTTTTTTTTTTTTGGTTTTTCCGAGACAGGGTTTCTCTGTATTGTTTTGGAGGCTATCGGTCCAGCCCGGCCTCGAACTCACAGAGATCCGCCTGCCTCTGCCTCCCGAGTGCTGGGATTAAAGGCATGCGCCACCACCACCCGGCTTGGGTTTAGCATCTTACACACAACAGACACTTCCTGTTCTAAGAGATCCGGATGGCAGGACCTAGACTCTGTTTACCCTAATGTTCCTACATGTGTGGCCCCAAGAAGGAACTCCAAGGGCTTAATATATGGTTTAGGATGAAGAAGGGACAGATACTTCCTCTGTCTATCTAACTATCTGTCTGTCATCTATCTACCTATCTATCTATCTATCTATCTATCTATCTATCTATTCATCCACCCATCTTCCCTTCTCTCTCTCTCTCTCTCTCTCTCTCTCTCTCTCTCTCTCTCTCTCTCTCTCTCCTCTTCTCTCTCTTCTACTCCCCCCTTCCTTTCTATCTGCCTTCCTTGAGGTCTCCCTTCTTAAACAGTGGTAAAACCCATGCAACATAAAGTCTGTCTCCATAGGTACTTAGTGTGTGTTAGTGTCCCTCAGTCTCTGTGGTCCCCCAGCTCTGCTCTCCCCTGTCCCTATTTCCCAACTGATTACCCCAGTCAGATCAGCTCGGCTTAGATTCTCAAACCCTGTTCAGAGCTTGTTGATCTGGTCAGTGCTGGCTCCACACTGCATGGAGAAAGAACAGGTCCCCCAGTCTCTCTTGCCGTCAGGCAGCCTGAGCATCCTGGCAGGGTGGCCCACGCACGTGGCACCTGGCCTTCCAGCAGTGGCTCACGAGGGGCTTGTTGTTCTGCTTGTCCCAGGCTGTAGAGGAACCCAGTCCTTTCTCTAAAGCATCTTAGGACTCTGGTCCCACAGGGAAGTGAGGCCAATGATTGGGGACGTCAGGGGGCAGAGGAGGCCTCAGCTCCAGGGTGTGTGGCAAGTCGTGCCTCTTGGAGCAGCGTGAGGATGATGGCCCACAACGCTCGGCTGTGCCTGCTGAGGTGATTCCTCAAGAGCAATAGGCTAGCTCACAGGAAGCTGAGTCTCCTTAACTCTACCCCAATGGAGCCGAGGGCAGAGAGCTGCCACTCAGTGACACCATTCCCAGAGGCCACAGAGACTACTGCTTGTGGCACCAGCTCAAAGTCCTCTCCTCCCAGTATGGGCTCCAGGGTCCAACAACCATAGATTCAAGTATCACGTGGATATGGGCAAGTGACTATATCTTTAAGAGCCTCCGTTTCTCATCTCACACTTAGGGATGAAGAACTATCAGGCTTGAGTTCATGTGAGCAGTGTGGGAATCAATGAAATGCCAGCCTGTCGGTGTTGGTTCCCCATGGAAAGGCATTGCCTGTGTCTTGTTAGGGTTTCTATTGCTGTGAAGAGACACCATGACCACAGTGACTCTTACAAAGAAGACATTTAATTGGGGTGGTGGCTTACAGTTTCAGAGGTTCAGTCCATTATCATGACGGGGAGCATGGTGGCATGCAGGCAGACATGGGGCTGTTAGTCTAGACCAGAAGGCAACAGGAAGTCGACTGACTGTCACACTGAGGGAAGCTTGAGCAAAAGAGACCTCAAAGCCCGCCCCCACAGTGACACACTTCCTCCACCAATGCCACACCTCCTAATAGTGCCACTCCCTTTGGGGGCCACTTTCTTTCAAACCGCCACAGCCTGTGTGGAGCGAGCAGCCCCTCTGCCTTGCCCACCAGCACCTCCAGGGCTTCCTAGCTCACCTGCCGTCCTGACCACTAACTCCAGTTACACCATCTGCATTATAAGCATCGTCTCTGCTCCTGCATTCTGCACTCAGAGAACAGAAGGGGCAGCAAAGGGCAGACAGAGGGACACAGGGCAGGGGACCAACGGCATTGATGTCACCTGCTTGGATCCTCACACACACATTCCTGGTTACAGGTGAGCACAGTCTGCAGGACCAAAGAACACACACACACACACACACAGAACACACACACACACACACACACACACACACACACACACACACAGAGAGAGAACACACACACATACCCCTAACAAAGACTTTTAAAGCTTTTTAAGCTCCAATACTTCTCCCCAGGAACACTTTCCAATTCTCTATGGTAATTGGCTAGGAGGCAACATCACAGTAGCAGGTGTCCATACCCACTTTAAGCAAAAGAAGTTATGTCTGAAAAGCATTCAGAAATGGCTAGTATGTCATATTCCAGCTATATTCATGTGAAAGTAATAAAAACATCAGCCCCCTCTGTTAAAAAGTTATGCAAATAAGCAATCCACAGTGTGATTATCGATAATTAAAAATATACATACATGTTCCCCACCACCCATATAAATACAGGCATGTTCCCTGCCACCCACATAAATACAGGCATGTTCCCTGCCACCCCGCCACCCACATAATGCAGTTTTCACCGTCCCAAGCATTTACCATGAGACATGACTGCATTCATAGGAAAAAGCTCTCTTTTCTGCTTTTCGCTTAAGTTCTGGGGATGGAACCCAGGACTCACACCTGTTGGGCAGGCTCTCCCTCTCTGACATGCACTAGCTCTGTTCCTCCTGGGAGGGGAGCTGTGGGGAGGTTGTGCTATAACAAACACAATATCACCTGAAGACTGTGGTAACCAACTCACTGCTATGTGGCTATGGGTAAGTGGCTTTCCTTCTCTGAGCCTCACCTGTGAAATGGGCTGGTAGAAAAGGAAGTACAGATATCCTTTGTCACAGTTCTGGCCGAGTGGTGGGCCAATGGTTTTAGTGAGCATCAGAACTTGGCTATACCTGGGTCTGAGGTCAGGGTTCACCAGCCCCTAATTTCCCAGCTAGGTGGGAAGGTACGGGGTAGGGGGCTGGGAGGTGGGGGGGTTGTGGTTTAGTAACAAGTCCCAAGGCACTACATTCCTGCTTGCCAATGCCCAGCCTTTCCTAGGTACTGCACTAAGATGAAACCAGACATGGTGTAGCCTGATGCCAGCTTGGGAGGGACTTGGTGTGTGTGTATAAGGTGGTGACCTTAGAGCCGGGTCCCTCCTAGGGCCTCAGTATTGGCTGTGTTTAAAGTGCTTCTTTGGGTCTTTAACACTGTAGTTGTATATCTGATGACAAGGCCTGAGGGCACCCTCACCTAACAGACAAATTCCATCTGTCAAAAGGGGGCATTAAGAACTTTCTAAAAGAAAAAAAAAAGTGTCAGTTTAGGGCAAACCTGATCCAGTTTTAACCCACTTAGGCATCATCCCAGAATTCCCTGGCCATGTTTCCAGCCTTGGGCATAGCCCGGAGTCACCCCAGATGCCTCCCATACATGCCTAGAGCTCACCTTGCTCGCTCCTGCCTGGGGCTAGACTGTGAGTCCTGGGGCCATCGAGGGGGCTTGGGGGTGCGGGAGTGGGGGTGGTGGTGTAGTACTTGCCCAGCCCTATAGACTCCACCAACCTGCAGAGTTCCTTCTTGGGTGGGAAGAGAAACCCTGTCAGATGGGCCGAGTCTTTTCCTCTCTGCCTTGTGTGGGCTAGTGTTTCCACTCTGCCCTCAGTTCACGCCCTAACCTGTAGACTGACCAATGACATCGATGTCACAGGCCTCCTGGGACTGGCATAGGCCACTGGCAATGTGCTTAGCCCTGTGCATAGGAATAAAAAGTCAGGTTCACCTTCCATTTTCTTTCTCCTAGAGAAAACACAAACAACACCCTGGCCACTTCCTGAAGACACGGGGTCACAGTCATGGTCACAGGCATTCCTTGCTGGTCTGTGTTATCAGTGGCTGCTGTGTGGGGGCAGGGCACTAAGCATCATTACTCTGTGGGCCTCGTCAGTTCTTTTCAATTCTGCTCCTCTCCCGGTATCCCTCTGTCACTTGTGAGGGCTCAGTGCTTGGGGTGTGCTGTGCCCGGCCATCACCGCGTCTCTTGATCTAGCACGATCTAGCACACATGCAAGAGAGCCCGGGGCTCGGGTTCTGTTCAGCTACACTCACGGCTCACAATCTTCTGCGCTGACATCTGGATTCCTGGGAGACAGGTCATCATAAAAGCAATGCGTGATTTCTCCTTCCAGGGATGGCAGGGAGCTAAGGCACGGGTGTCACCAATCCCATTATGGAAGCGCACCGCTGGGGGCTTCCTCAGGCACAAAGCGACTTTGTATCTGAAGTCAGCCACACTGAGCATACACACATATATATACACACACATACACACACACACACACACACACACACACACACACACACGGCATATAAAAATTCTGTACATTTGCCTCTAACCACACACAGTACACATTTAGTATAAATAGACAGAAATGACATCGTAGAAAAAGCAGGTTTGTTCTGGGAACAGATGCAGCATTTAGACTGAGGCTGTTCTGGGTGTCTAGTCTGTCCAGCTTCCCCAGGCAGCCAGCCTCAGAGGGACTGCTGAAGGTCACCTGTATGCCCCGGTGGGCTAGGTGGGTGGCGGGCCGTTGTAACGAAGCATGAGTGCGAAGGAGCGGGCGAAGTTGTTGGCCAGGGCGCAGCTGCGCTCCTCCTCGCCGGCCGGCAGCAGGAAGAGCAGGAGAAGAAAGAGCAGGAGCAGCAGCTGCAACGGTAGCGCCACGCGGCACGCTTTCTGTAGGAGAGAGCAGGGATTCCGCCACCGCCTCTGCTGCCGACTCTGTGAAGCGACACAAGACGCGCCATGAGCGAGCGACTGGGAGGCTCAAGGGGAAGTGGGGCAGGAGGGCTCGCTGGACAAACTGCGACCACAGGTGTACAGTCTGTCCCCTGTGCAGAGGGCTGCCATGGCTGGTCTTCAAGCATCACCATGGAAACAAACCTCCGGGCATGCCTACGAGGGGGTTCTAGATTGGGTTGAGGTGGGAAGCCCCGCCCCATGGACAGCCTCTGAGCATGTCTATGAAGGGTTCCAGTTGGGTTGAGGTGGGAAGACACGCCCTAGCTGTGGGTGCCACCATATCATGGGCTGTGATCTTGGACTGAATAAGAAGGAGAAAATGACCTAAGTATCAGCATCCACCTCTCTCTGCTTTCTGGGCTGTGGACACAGTGTGACAGGGGAACCATGACTTCCCCGAGAGAGGCTGTACCCTCACACCCTTCCTTAAGCTGCTTTTGGAATTTCTCACAGCAGTGAGAAAATTAAAACGTGCCACTGATTCAGTTTTGCCAGCCACAAGGATCTCTGCAGTTTCCTTAAACCATTCAAGGATTTGACAGGAAGAAACACAATAAAACAGCAGATTGGGCCAAGGATGATATAACCCCTCCTTGGTGGACCCACAGTCCCAAACTTGCAACGACTTGACTTAGAAAGCAACACTTCCTCAGTGGAAACCATATTTCAGGTTTGATCTCTTCTTGAGCCAGACAGACACATGTAGTCCAATGCCCTCTGGAGATGCTGGGCAGCAGGGCCAACCAACGCCCCATGAGCGGCCCAATCACAAAGGCGGTGGCTGGCCATCTACAGGCTGCTGTGTGGCTGAGCTGGGATGTTCCACTGTTACAGGCATGCTCTGTTACGGTGTTTTCAATTCACAGTGGCTTCTTGAGGACAGAACCCCATGGTGAGTTGAGTATGACCACTTACTGAGAATCCTGAGGTGGCCAATCAAAACTCTCCATCTCGAGGTGGGTATAATGATGACTGCCACCTGACACAGAGTAAGGATTAAATGAAATGGAGCCCAGGGCACCACAGGCACTGAATAGCAGCCGCCATCACGGGTCCACATCCTAACCTCACCCCCATCTGAACAGTCACCATGGCCACCCAGACACTGAGCATCAGCAGAAGGAGCACCATGCCCTCTTCCCAGGACTCTCCTCTCCTCCTCCCCATCCTCCTCCTTTTTCTCTCTCCTCTGTATGATCACCTTGAGTTACCTGAAGGTCACTCTCACATGCTCCAGTGCCCAGCAGACTTCCCTGCAGTAACGTCCACAGGGCATATCCTGCAGTCTGCAGGGGCTGGGCAGAGTGTGGCTCTGTCGGGGATGATGATGGTGGTGAGGATGGTTGTGGTGATTGTGTGGTGGCAGCAGAGGTTGTGGTAATGGTGGTGATGGTGACGGTGAGGATGGTGCTGGTAGTGGTGAGGAACAGAACTGACTCCATGACATTTTCTGACGACTTTGCCAGACTGAAAACTCTGATGACCCATATGAATTCATGGAGAATGATGGGAGAGCAAGACAGTAAGCTGTGACATCACTAGAATGCTGCAACCCAAAGCCTCCTGGGTAGAGGAGCTGTTTATAATGGGCCTTTCCATTCTCTCTGGAGCCTCCATTCTTAGAACTGGGCTTCACGTGTGCAAATGCATCTGTGCCTTGGGCTTGACCCTTCTAAACTAGCTTTTAAGGGCCAGATGTGTTTGCATTCACAAGTGTGAAGCTTGCAGGAATTCAGGGGATGCCTACAACTGCCCAGACATTACTTCTAGAGCATCTTCCTTCAACTTGAGGACTTTAAACTCTAAAATGTTCTTTACGATAAAAAACCTAAATATTTGAAGTAAAAGGTATACTTTAATGAGAGTTTCAAAAGTTTGGACATCATGCAGGCATGAACACATTTGAGTATACACACACACACACACACACACTTCTAACAAATATTTTTTTAAGATGTCAACAAGGAAATGGATAATCTTAGTTCATCTCAGTTCTAAGAGCTTCTCTGTGCCTTAGTTTCTCTACAGAGTATATTGCCTGTGTCCTACTCAAAGCCATCCAAGAGAGAAAGGAGTCCACAGGAGGCGGGGCTCCCATCCTTCATTTGCTGAATGACAAAGAATATCACCCTCTTTGCTCTGGCCATCTGGCCTATCCCTTAGTACCCAGGAGGTGACCACAGAGACACTCACTGCCCACTGCCTGTGAATATTTTCACTATCCCAATATTCCACCCAGAACATCTGTCATGTGTGCACACACTCCACCCAAGGCCTCATGCTCAACTCTTCCCCTAGGCCTTAGGCTTCCTGGATGTTTCCAGTTGCTCTGGGAGGCTGACTGGCCTCTGCCTTTTATACAGAGCAAGAACGTAAAGCTATAGGAGAGTCCGTAGCCTGAGGTCACACACAGGCTCAACTTCCACCAAGACTGCAAAACCCAGGCTCTCTCCATCACCCTTCACGGTGTCTCTCATAAGAAACCATGGCTAAAGATAGTCACAAGGCACTCTGGGCCTTAGCTGTCCAAATAGGTCCCATCTTGACCCAGCATATTGAGTATAGAAGTTTTATCAATGCAACTGGGGTTGGGGGTCTTTTCCTAAGACCTGACTGGGCCTCATTCACCACCACAAAGCCAGGCCAGCCCCAACAGCTTAAGGTGAAGAGGAACCGGGCAGAGCCCAGCCTGGTGCCTCTCACTATGCCTCCCTCAGCATCAATTTTAACCCTCTGCCTGCCCTGGGACACACTGGTAGCTTTTGTAATTGTCTGTCCTTCGGAGCCCAGGTAGGGGGCTGTGTAAGTCCTAATGGTGAACAGGTTCCCCAGCCAGCCTGCCTAACTTGACCACATATTTTCTCCCCTATTCTCTGGGTACAAAAATCATGGGCTTGCAGCTCGGGGCTCACTACTGAGGGCTCAGAGGAGCCTGTGAGGGTCTCATCTGGACCCAGGCCAGGTTCATTTGATCTCTGTGTGAGATAGGCAGGCCACAGAATCACAGTTTTTCAGACTCTCGGGTTGATGGAGTAGGCGAGAAGGCAAGGCACACTGAACTGGCCTTCACAGCTGGTTGGCTCTCACGGTGTGCAACCAGTCGATGCGTGCAAAGATGGAAGGGAGGGGCGGCTTTGTCCTCACTCGAGGAAGCTGGCACCACGCTCAGGAGCAGGCGCATGGGTGTCCCCATCACATACCATCGTTACATTTGGGTGACCGGGGAAATAGCAGAAAGAGAGGAACCAGGGTAGATGTAGGAATCGGAGCAGCCTCCGGTGGGGCGGAGGAGTCACAGCTTCTGCTGCCTGGAGGCAAGGAAGATGACCCCCAGTACAGTCACCAGCCTCACTGACCAGGCAATCACAGGCTCCCTGGCTGGGGTTAGTTTCTGGGGAAGTGGGGAGGGGAAGTCAGACTCAAGTTCAAAAACTTAGTGTTTAAGGTCATAGCGACAACTCTCTCATAACTCAGCAGTGTCCAACTGCTTCAGGGTTGTGTAGGTGGAAGGAAGATGGCATCCAATGCAGTTTGAGGACAGTCTGGGTCAGAGACGGTAAGACTGAGCAAAGCCCAGCTATTTATTTAGTAGGGACCAGGGATGAGGAGGATTTGGGTTGTTTGCTGAGCTGTAAGCAGGTGACATACAGAAAGTTCAATGACATTACTGCCTCACCCCCAACTGACCTTGCTGTCCATGGGGCAGAGGAGGACGAGAGCTCCTGCAATCAGGCACGTGAGCGTCCATCACAGCACCTGGCACACTTTTTTATTTTTTATTTTTTACCTCAGCTGTGACAGCTATCCTCTACAATGGGAAGCCGACCAATGCCTTCAGATATCCCACCCACCCCAGGCACCCGCTGAAAGGCAAACCAGTATCTCACCACTAAGAAAGAAAGCAGCCACCGCCAATGGCAGAAGGCACATGACTGAAGAGTCTCCATAAGGGAGCTGGGTGGCTCAGTGCTGGGTGCCGTGGCTCAGTAGGGAGAGTACTGATCTAGCATGCGTGAAGCTCCAGGTTTGATCCCCAGCACTGGGTAAACTGAGTATGGCAGTGTCCACCTGTAACAGTGGCACTCGGGAGGTAGAGACAGAGTTAAAACGCCAGGTTCGTCCTCACAGTGAATTTGAGGCTAGGCTGGGCTACGCGAGACCATGGGAAGGGAGGGAGGGAGGAAGGGAGGGAGGGAGGGAGGGAGGGAGGGAGGGAGGGAGGGAGGGAGGGAGGGAGGGAGAGAAGAGGAAGTGAAGAAGGAAATCCCACCCAAAGCTTCATGTGGAGGGGCTGTGCCTTCAGTGGGGAGGAAGGGTGGTGACCTCATAGGAAGAGGGGCCAGAACATTCCATATTTGGTTGAAGGGAGGGGAAAAAGCTTTTTCTTGAGAACTTGAGCCATAGGCAAGGGCTCCCCCAAACACATGGGCTAAGTGCACCAGAACAAAACGCAATCATCAGCAGAGATTTTGACTCCCAGGTGAAGGTGTTCTGAGTGGAAGGAGGAAGCAATCTTGAGTACTCCTTGGGAGGACTAGATTGGAACAAAAAATCCAGATTCCAGCAAGGTGAAAATATAAAAAAACAAAAAAAAAATGATGACTCTTAAAACCTTGGAAATACTATCAGGCAAACCTGATGTCATCCCAGGTGACTCCCACATGTGGACCTGTGTACCAAGAGCCCCACAGTGCGGTGCCCAGGGTACCAAGAGCCCCCTGGCACACTGTGCCCAGGGCCCGCAAACCGGAGGCCAGCAGCCAGTCAGTCCAGGGCTGCAGTGAAAAGACAGTTTTCAGAGAGGGCAATGACACATCCCAGGCCACAGCGGGGCGTGAGGTGACTCTCACCCCACTGCCATTCAAACACGTGTGTCTGAGTGCTGCCATTCAAACAGTCAACTACGATTGTGTGTCTGAGTGCTGCCGGCAAGCATCCACTGGCACCGAGCTGGCTAATTGAATTAATCCTAATTACTCTGTGTGTGCAAACAAACAGGCTGAAGCTGCTGACGTAGCTGGAGGCCTGGAGGGAGGAAAGGAAGTGTGGAGAACCGACCACACGTAAATCATCAGCTCCACAGTGGGTGTCCTTCTTTCCTGTGGGCTGAAAACTATATACAGAATGTTTTTAAGTTGGTGAGATTGCAGCTTTTGCAGAAGGCATCTCCGTTCTACCTGGCTGGTCTCTGCATGCGTGCGTGCATGCGTGTGTGTGTGTGTGTGTGTGTGTGTATGCATGCATGTGTGTGTGCATGTGTGCACAAGTGTGCATGTGCATATGTGTATGTCCATGTGAGTTTATACACACGAGTATGTGCATGTGTGTATGCACACGTGTGTGGAGTCCTATCATAATTGCACGTACCTAACAAGCTAAAATGCATGAGGACTGTGAATTTGGGTCTTGAGTGTCCCATAAAGACTCATGAGTTACAGAACTGATCCCCCAGATAGAGTATTTGGAGGAATGGAATGCTTAAAGGGTGGGGCTGTAAATGACTCTGCCCTCGCAGAGGACCTAGATTCAATTTCCAGCACCCACAGGACAGCTTATAACAGTAATTCCAGTTCTAGGGGATCTGATGTCCTCTTCTGGCTTCTAAAGACTCAGCATGCCTGTGGTGCACATACATTCAGGCAAAACATTCAAACACATAACATACATACATAATAATGATAGACTAAAAGAGGTAGGACATATTGGAAGGTTCACTGGTTATTAGGGGATGTTTCCTTGAAAAGGACTGTGGGCTTCTCCTCTTCCTCCTCTTTTGCTTCCTGGACATGAGGTGGATAGTTTTGTCCCACCTCATGTTCCCACCACAGTGTATGACTTCACTGAAGACCCAAAGCAACAGGGACAAGTGACCATGGATGGGAAACTCTATAAAACCTGTGAGCCAAATAACCCTTCCCTCTTCATAAGCTGAAGTCCTCAAGCATTTCATAATAGTAACTGAAAACTGACTAAAACAAGATCTCTGTGTCATTGCTCTTTCTGCTCTTGGAAGAAGAAGGAAGAGGAGGAGGAGAAGGAGAAGAAGGAGAAGAAGGAGAAGAAGGAGAAGAAGGAGGAGAAGAAGAAGAAGAAGAAGAAGAAGAAGAAGAAGAGGAAGAAGAAGAGGAAGAGGAAGAGGAAGAGGAAGAGGAAGAGGAAGAGGAAGAAGAAGAAGAAGAAGAAGAAGAAGAAGAAGAAGAAGAAGAAGAAGAAGAAGAAGAAGAAGAAGAAGAAGAAGAAGAAGAAGAAGAAGAAGAAGAAGAAGAAGAAGAAGAAGAAGAAGAAGAAGAAGAAGAAGAAGAAGAAGAAGAAGAAGAAGAAGAAGAAGAAGAAGAAGACAAAGCATGAACAGTGTCTACAGGCTCTTTGTGCCAGGCAGTAGGAAGGAAATTTTTCCTGCCTTGAGTTCAGTGGACTCATTTCCTTCATTGGAAGATCATGGTCCAGTAATCACAAATGTCACACACACCAGTGACTGAATCTGGATTTGAACGCAGAGCATAAAACACCTGTTCTCAAAGTGTGGTCCCTGAACTAGATGTGTGAGCAACACCTGGGAATGTGTTCACGAACTATCCAGACTAATGGGTCAGGAGCTCAGGGGCAGGTGCAGCCATCTGGGTTCACAGGCCATCCTAATTGTCTGTGAATATCAAGCTGCCACGAATGGCTTCCTTCTTCACAGGAAGCTAAGGTTCATTGGCTTAAAAGGAAGCCAGAATTGAAGTCAGCCTTCTACTTGTTTAAAACATGGCAAGGACAACCATGTAGAACCTTCTAGCTTGTACCCAACAGTACGAGGGCTGACATCTCCTACCTGTAGCTAAATGAGGTTATGTGATGAACACTGGAGTGAGCTCTCATGGTTGCTGCCCCTCAGAGCTCTCTGATGCAAAGACGACCAGACCCCAGCTCCACAAAGATGTCCCAGCCAGGTGCACATGCTCTAGGTTGGCACATCAAAATTCTTTTGGGGTTGGTGGATTTGGAGCACCTTAAGCAGCCTTCATCAAAAAGTCATTCCTGACTTCGTACCGATAAAATAAATGAATGACTGAAAGAAGTGTCAGTGGGCACCATGACTATACCAAGGATCTTAGAATCTGTCTGACAGAGGTGTACAATCATGGTCCACATGTAACATACACCCCAGGATAGCTAGGGATGTGTTCCAACACAAAACCATAAACTTACTTAAAGCATTGTGAGGGTTTGTTTTTGTTTTTATAAAGAAAGAACTCTTTGTAACTTTATAAAAGATGTATGTCTCAATGTCAAATGATTAGACACCTCTGATCAACTCTAGCCTGGACTGCATGGATGGGGACTCCCAACCACGGAGGGGCTTAAAGTGAATAGACAGGCTGAACACTGATTTTGGGACTTCCATCTTCCACCAGGGGCCACCAAGCCAGTCAGTTCAGGTCACCTGACCATCCAGACACTTGTTCCTAGTCCCTGAGTTTCACACCATTCTGAACTAGGGGGAATCCTGGGTGAAACATGTGTCTCTTGGTATGCTCTGGTTCACACAGCCTTCAAAATTAGTTCAGGGAGTAAATTAAACCAACATTGCTATTCTCACTTCACACATGGGAAAGGGAACCCCAAGGCAGGGTGATTTGTCCAAGGCCATAAAGCTGGTTGGTAAAGGGCCCCAGGTGCAGCCTCGGTCCATAATAAACCCTACCTCATCCACGAGTCACCCATTCGCCTGAAGTTTCCAGAGGCCACTGGACCCAGGGTGCTCGCACCTGGGATTTAGACTCCACGACATCAGAGATCTGAAGTGACTCTAGGCTCTTTGAACCAGAGTTTTCTGGGGACTCGTGTCACTACGGTCGATTTGGGGCAATGACTCAAGGGCAACACCAGGGACAGGAATGGGGGGGAAAGGCCCCAGGATGTTTCCAGAACACTCTGTGAAGGTTAAAGCACGGGCGTTGAGACCTGAGGGCCGATGCCATCAGCAGCCACATGCCTGGTGGACACATCATGCCATTTCCCCCCTCAGGCTTAGAGCTGAGCTAAGAAGGCTACTTGGCGTCAGCGCCAGAGATGCCCTAGCCACAAGTGTTCTGGCTTGAATTGGAAACATCCCCGCAGGCTCTTGGTCTCCTAGCTGGTGGTTCCCGATAAGGGGAGGTTGTGGAGCCTGTGGGAGTTGGGGCCGAGCTGGCTGAGGGTCATACCAGGTCCTAGTCCCCAATTTCTCCTTCCCCCTCTTCCCCCCATCCCCTAAACCTCTCACTCTTCCTTTCCCTCCCTCCCCGGTTGGTCAGGAAGTGGACAGCCATCCTCTGCCACAGACCCCAATGCAATGACATACTGCCCAAGCACAGAGTCCTAACGACTGTGGGTCTGCTCTGAAGCCCTGAGCCAGAGCAAATCCCTTCTCAGGCTTTTTTATGTTGGATACTTGGTCACAGCCCTGGAAATGGAACTGAGATCCTCCTAAGAACCAGTCCAGGGCAGTGGAGGGCACCACCTAGAGGCAGGAGCTGGTACTGTTCTCACTTTAGCTGTGACTTAACCTGGGAAAAGCCAGGGCTTCTGATGGGCACCAGTAGAAACACTTGCCTGGTAGAGCAAAGGACTCCACCACCCCTAGGACCAAAGAGGCCACACGATCCCAATGTTCCCTGGTTTACACCTCCAGTGTGTTCTGGGTCTGGATGACAAATCTAGGGTCCCCTCCCCCCCCCCCCGTTCCCCACTGTGTGTATGCCAAGGCCAATGTACACACACTTGTCAATCCCTCCCAGAGCCCGGGGGCTTCCTGAGAGAACACATACCTCAGAGCCCAACCCATTACAATACAAAGCTTGTTCTCTATCCATGCTCTTCAGATCTCAGGGAACATTCTAGAAAACCCAGACACCCTGCCCCAGAACCACAGGCCTTCCAGCCTTGGACATTCTCTGCCCTCTAGCAGAGGGCAGCCGATGGCAGACACGTACCTTCTGGAATGCAGTCAGCTCCCCTGGAGACGTCTGTGTCTGTTATTTTAGGGAAGGGGAAGAAACGGGGTAAGAATCAGCTAGGCGCGTAAAACTTAAACCCCGCCAGAACCCGTAACGGACTATTCATTTTGTCTGGGGGGAGTATTTCGTTAACATATCTGGTCATCTGCACAGCCTGCACCAGCAGGGGATTCTGTCTAATGAGCTTTTTAGCACGCTCCAGGGCCAGGCGGCACTGTCTAGATGGCCTTGGCCGGGGTTGGGGCTGGGGCCTAGCTGGCTTGGGCTGGGCTGACACCTAGCGGCCAAACTGGCAGTTGTGGGGGCAGAAAAGCCTGCAGTGCCTGAGGCTGTGGCTTCTGGGCTCTGAGACCTGAAAGAGGGATTCTAGAGGGGTCATTTCACCCATTCCTTCGTGGGCCTAGGAAACTTAACTTCTTTGTCTCAAAGTTGTCATCAGTCCAGAGTGAAGGGTTTCCTTCTCCGGTATGGGCGTGTTAGGAGACCATAGCATTTAACAAAGGCTATCATTACCCATGGCTTGTGTAGGAGACAGGAAGTCCAGCGTATTAAAGTACTAGGTCAGGGTCAGAGGAAGGGAGGACTGAGTCTCGGGGCCACTGGCATCCAACCCAGGCATCCCTGTAGCAGCACCGCACGAAAGGGATGTATAACAGAATGCTGTCTCAGCCAGGGAAGGACTGTGACCCTAGCGTCTCCCACTGGGGCCAGGGGTGGGACTCAGCTACCCCCTGGAGAATGGGGTGCAGACACTCCAGCAGAAAGCAGCCCTAGCACCCAATGGGGAATGTACATAAAACTCAGACATGATGGGAGCAAGAGATCCGTGCGCACTATTCACAGGACTCCAGCGTCACCGGGAGGCAAGATGGACAAATAATATGACGTGAGCCGAGTGCCTGAGACCCGAGAGTGTCCCTTCCTCTGAGCAGTCACGGTGGCCTGGTGTATGTACAGATGTACCAGAATGAACTAAGTAGATCCAGCTGTGGTTGCCTCCTGGGACCCCCCAGCCTTTAACCCGAGCTCTTACCAGCAGGTGGCCGGAATCCTTGAGCTTGGACTTGTACAGCATCCAACGATAGCGCAAATCTTCCAGCTCCTCACCGGGGTCCCTTGCTGGCCTGACACGGAGCAGGTTCTCGAAGAGACGCTGGCCTTCTGGGATTCGAGCCTCCAGCTCCTGAGAGAAAAGGCACCATCATGCCAAAGCTGCCCAGTGACCCAAGAACCCCACCTGGCTGGTAAGGATTTGCCAATTAAGTGCCACCTGATGAGGCATGCTGGAGATGCAGACAGGACCAGTAACATGAGACTCTCATCCATGCAAGTTTTTAAAAAATGTTTTTAGGGCTAGAGAGATGGCTCAATGGTTAAGAATAGTAGCTGCTCTTGCAGAGGACCTGGGTTCAATTCTTAGCACCCAAATGTTGGCCTGTAACTAATTTTAACTTTAGTCCCCAAGGGACCTGATGTTTTCCTCTGTCATCCAAGGGTACTAGGCACATACGTGATGCACAGACATACATGCAAGCAAAACACTCATACAATAAAATAACAAATATTCTTTTAAAAATTGGTCTTACGAGTACTTATTTTGTGTGTATGTGGTTTTACCTGCATGTATATATGTGCATCATGAGTATGCCTAGGACCAGTAGAGATCTGAAGAGTGCATCAGATCCCTTGGAACTGGAGTTATGAATGGTGAGTTACCATGTGGATGCTGGGAACTGAACCCAGGTCGTCTGTGAGAGCAGCAAGTTCTCTTAACCTCTGCACCATCTTTCCAGCCTTCATCTATGCGTCCAGAATGTTAGAGAACACCCCACAGTGTCTACTTATAACACTGACATTCCAGGACCACGAGAGGTTTGTCACAGCCGTCACCATCACAAAGTGATCACCGTGGAGCATGCCACTCTGCTGACATTTCTAAGACTGGCAGTGTTGATGTTGAGATGGGTAGACTTTTTCTATCTAAGTAGACCACAGCTCTCCCCTCGGGTGACGAGTCCTCTTCCCAGAAGTCCTGAGAGGTGGTGGGAGGCCGGGTGGAGGAGGGGTCTACAGGCAGGACCCTCCCTAAGCTTCAGCCCCAGCTTTGGACCCTGGCTAGCTGCTCAGAACCTACCATGGTGCAGGCTGGACCAGAAGCCACGTTTGATATGACGGCAATAGAGGGTAGACAAGAGATCTGAGTTGGGGAGGTGGGTGGGAAGACTTGATGATGGTGTGCAGTTCCATCAGGGGGATGAGCTGTGCAGCAAGAACACAATGCAATGTTTAAAGCCATCAATGGGCTAACAAATGGGGGAGAGAAGTCAAGACAAAACTCAGGAAAGGGGCTGGAAGTGTAGCTCCATGGCAGAGCATAGTATGCTGAGGCCCTGGGTTTGATCCCCAGCTCTACAAACACAATGAAGCCACCACAGATGCTCTGGAGGTCAGTGCAGACCTCCTTTTGCTCTCAGGATTTTTGACCCCATAGAGGGAATAATGTCAGCTTTGAAACCAATCTGTTTCCACAGCTTCCCAAGGGTAAGATGGTGAATGTCAAAGACTTTAAGTCATTCCCTTTGTAGATGAGATGCCTGCAGGCTTATCCTCAGAGTAAAGGGAGCCATAAGTGTATCTGGGCCTTACAGCCTAGCTCCAGATCATCTTAGTGGTCCAGAGAACTGCCAGACTTGAACTTGGACGCAGTGGTCCCAGAATCATAAAGTCCCCACTTCTTGGAAATAACCAAACAAAATCCTCTCTGGAGGAAGAGATTATCCTAAGTCCCAAATTAGTTTTGTGTGTATTCTGTTCATGACAAAAAGTAACCACATGACAATACACAACACAAAGAGTGAGAAGCAGAAATATGTGACAAAAGTATCCCTAAATGCTTGGAGATTTCAGAATTGTTAGACAACACAATTATGGTGGGTTACAGCTCAAAGAATTAAAAGACAAGCTTAAGCATTTCATCAAGGTTGTGATAGATGAATGTAACCAACCAGACCCGAGAGAACTAAATAGAAACTCTGGAGAGACGGCTCTGAGGTTAAGAGCACTGGTTGCTCTTCCACAGGTCCTGAGTTCAGTTCCCAGCAACCGCATGGTGGCTCACAATCATCTATAATGAGATCTGGTGCCCTCTTCTGCTATGCAATGCAGGCTGAACACTATGTATAATAAATAAATAATTTTTTAGAAAAAAAGGTCTAAAACTGATTGCTATGACAACCAAAGTTAAGATCTTAATAGGCATACACACTAGCAAATGAGACACAGCCAGAATTAGTCAAGTGGAAGTTGAGTGAGAAAACATATTCAGAATTCAACACTCTGAGTCAAGGGTGAAAAATACACAAAAGTAACAAGGAGACAAAAATATACAGTGGGAAGAAAAAATTGTGGATGTCAATGACAAATGAGAAAAAGGCATCAAGGCAAAGGTGATATTTTAAGAGATTTTGTCAGATATTTTTCCACAACACAAATGCAGTTCAAATGACTGCCAAACAGGAAATAAGAAATTCGGTCCCTAAAATATCACGGAGATTTCATAGGAATAAAGGAGTGGAGAGGTAGAGTGGACTTGATTACGAGGTCTTGGACAATGACTTAGGTTTGAACTCCGTACTAAAATTTTTTCATGGGGCGGGGGTCAAGGTCAGATTAGTGATTCTGTTGGGTCATGGCTACCTGAAAAAGGAGCCATGACCTGGGTGACGGTCCACCAAAAAGGAGAGCAGGCAGGAAGCTGCTTCCATAGTCAGATGGACAGCAAATGCAGAGGGGACAGAAACATCCAGGAAGTGGACTTGAGAAGGGTTTGGTGACTGCTATGGGTTGAATGATTGTCCCTTCCCAAACCCATGTTGACAGTATTGGGAGATGGGATCTTTGAGAGATGACCTGGCCCAAGGGTGGAATTAATGACCCTCGGGGATAGGACTAATGCTGCCATGAAAAAGTCTGTTCTAGATCCCTTTGCCTCTTTGTGTCTCTTCCATCTTTGGCCAAATGATGACACAACAAGGAAGCCTTGCTGGGTTCTGGTACTTGGACTCTCTAGACTTTGGAGTGGTGAAAAATTCTTGTTAGTTATAAATTACTCAGTCTGAAGTATTTCTTTATAGAAACAAATCAAGACTAACAAGGTGGCAACAAGACTATCAAGATGACTAGCAAGGCAGCCCGAAGGAGAGAGTAGGGGTAGACTAAACACAAGCATGTGACTACCTCTCCCCTGTCCGCATACCTTTGACTTTACATCAAGAGGTGGAGTCTTTTTTCTTCCTTTGACTTTGATATGGCCTGTTGGCTTTCTTTGTCCATGTGGCACTAGCACGCAAGTCCCTAATCTAGGCACCCAAGGGTCTTGCCTGCTTCCTTACACTCTGCAGCCACCTGGAGCTGTCTGGGCTGTCCCATGTGAGAATGAGACATGTCATGTTTGTCTCTATCCACTTCCAGCCCTTCCCCACCAGAGCCACCTAGCTGTTCCACGCCTGACAAAAGATAAGGTTGCCCAGCAGATGAGTCTTGGACCCCATAACTGGCAGAAACCAGGCTGAGGTCAAATCACCAAGTCTCAAAACCGTGAGTTAAACAATAGCTATTGTTTTAAGTAACTCGTTGTCATGGTGGTTTATGACACTGTGACAGCTAACTGATAACAGGATCAAGTGAGTGGTGATGTTTTCAAACAGAGAAATATATGTATGCATAAATGGATGGTTGCTGGGTGGGTGGATACATGCATGGGTGCATGGATGCACAGACGGACAAATGGATGCATGGATGGACAGATGCAAGGAAAAGTTTGTTTTAAAATATTTGAACCAAGGGGGCTGGGGAGATGGCTCAGAGGTTAAGAGCACTGACTGCTCTTCCAGGGGTCCTGAGTTCAATTCCCAGCAACCACATGGTGGCTCACAACATTCTGTCATGAGATCTGGTGCCTTCTTCTGGCCTGCAGGCATACATGCAGACAGAACACTGTGTACATAATAAATAAATAAATCTTAAAAAAATATTTGAAGCAAAAATTTTTAAAATCATTACTTAGACTCAGGACAGCTTACAAATGACTGTTAAGTATAAACTCCTACATTTGAGGAACTTCTGGTGGCATGGACCCCTTTAGGGATTATTCCTCAGAACAGACCTGCAGCTTCATCTCTTTGGTCCTCAAGTCCTTGGCTGTGGCTGTTCTCATTGTGATGATTCCAAGTAGCTTGGAGTTTTCTGCCTGCAGCCACTGTTCAAAGTCCCTTAGGAGCTGGGAGTGATCTTCATGGAGGTCATGTTCTTCCAGTAGGTTTGCCTGCAGGCAAGCATGTGATTAGATATGAAAAAGGCCTGCTGGTCATTGCTCCTGGGTATCCCACCAAAGCAGAAGGGTAAAGATGAGGACAGGGGACCTGGAGGGCATGGGAGAGGCTCAGAGGAATGAGGAAGGGTCTTATATTCATCCACATTTAGGAGGCAAGAGCATCCCTCACTATCACCTCTCTAGAGCCTCAGATGTCATCATCACCCTTGACCAGGAAACCTACCAAGTGGTCATCATCCTTGACCAGGGTGTTTACCCAGTGATCATCATCCTTGACTAGGATACCTACCCAGTGGTCATCATCCTTGACTAGGATACCTACCTAGTGGACATCATCCTTGACTAGAATACCTACCCCGTGGTCATCATCCTTGACCAGGACACCTACCCAGTGGTCATCATCCTTGACCAGGATGTTTACCCAGTGGTCATCTTTCCTCCATTCTTGTGGAGACATTGGCAGAGTGAAATGAAAGGCAGTCCAGCTAAGTCCTTCCCTACCCCTTGGTGGTGCCTCACTCTTCCTTGATATGGCTGGAGAGCCTTGGGTTCCAGTTCTACGGGTTCCTGAAGGTTGAGCTGCCTCCCTCCTCCTCCCCCTCCTCTTCCCCTCTTCCTCCTCTTCTCTTCCTCTGCTCCTCCTCCCTGAGATGCAGTTGCATCTCAGCACCTTGAACTTACACTCCTCCGGGTCTCTGTATATACTCCCCCTCTATACCGACAGCACATTTTTGGTGGTTTGAATGATAATGGTACCTATAAGCTCATATATTTGAATGCTTGGTTCTCAGGTGGTAGACTTTGGGAAGAGTTAGTACTGTGGTCTTATTGGACAAAGTACATCACTAGAGGTGGGCTTTGAGGTTTCAAAAGGCCAGGCCATCCCGTTAGCTCTCTGCCTCGTCTTGTGGATAAAGATGTGAGCTCCAGCATCATGCCTGCTAGCTGATGGTCATGGACTCTAACCCTCTGGAACTGTAAGCCCCAAATAAATGCTTTCTTTTTTAAGTTACCTTGATCATGATGTTTTGACATGGCTATAGAAAAGTAACTGAGACAATGCCTTTCCCTCCCTCTCTCACTCAGTCTTGAGGGTTCAACTGATATCTCATTATCCCTAGAAGGGCTTCCTCATCCCAGAACTGGGTGCGGCATCCAGCCTAGCTGCCACACCTTTTGTCTCTCACACTGTGTTCCAGAGTCCAACAGCACAGACCATATGTCCAGAGCTTGTTAGTGATGCACAATCAGGGTACCTGGTCAGGACTTGCATCTCTGATCTGTTTGCTCTCTGGGGTCGGCAGTAAGTTTTTAACTCTAGCTCTCTCCCAACACCAGCTGCTGCAGGGATTCAGATAAACGAGGGCCAGGCTTGTCCGGGGTTGTTCCTGGCCTTCTGATGTGATCTGGGACCTCTGAGATCTTAGGCCTCTAGCAATTGATTGCTTCTGAGCTCACATGAGGGAGAGGCAAATAACAAGTAGATACATCGTATGAGCTAAGCACATGGTCCAGGGCCGAGGGGGAGCTATGCCGGAGGCCCCCACCTCCTCGATTGACATCGGACCTGACCTTTCTCCCAAGGCCTGCGAGACGCACTCACCCCATGCCGCCGTCTGGGAATGGGGTCCCGGGGGTCGATGAGAAAGCCGGCCTTTGGGATGTTGTTGGTGAAGACGAGTTTCTTCCCCGTGTCCACCTCTGACCTCTGCAGCTGCTGGTTTCTGATGAGACTGGGAAGACAAATACACTTACTCAAGGCAGCCACACGATGAGTAGCCATCAAGTCCAGGAGAAGCCGGGGCACCAAGGAAACATTGGCAATTCGCTACTGTTAAGAACCTAGCAGCCACCTTTCGGGACCACCAGAGAGCCTCCCAGGCACATTCATGCCGTTTATTACCTTAAACCATGCCAGCAAGGCACATATACCTATCTATGTAGATAAAGAAGTAAGCTCAGGAAAGAATAAGCTGGAGGCTAACTCCGTATTAAGGGGTGTTCTCCAGTCCTCAAAACCCTGCCAGAATCACTAACTGGACCAAAGATGGGTTTATCCCCAGGTTCCCAGCACCATGTCTGGCACACATTCCTCAGTCATATGCTCTAAGGACACTACGAAGCGAGGAGGCATTGTCTGAGACAAAATGTGGGGCAAGCAAGGCCCTTACCTCAGCAGATTCTCCTCTAGCAGCCGCAGAGCCTGCCAGGATTCCACCAGCTTCCTCAGATCCTCCTGGATCATGGCCGCTCCCTCTGGGGAAGACTTCTTCATCACAAGCTGGCCCAGTGCTTGGAGCAGGGACATCTGGACCTCTCTCTCTGGAATTTCAGCCAGCAGCCTCTGTGGGACACATGGACAGACGGGGACACACACACACACACACACACACACACACACACACACACGTGAGGCACTGGTCTGGCGGGATCTCTGTACCCCAGTAAGAAGTTCATCCAGAATGCTTTAGGGGAATGCAGGCAGGAGGATGCACCAGCACCTTACCTCAGGTCCAGTCTCCTGGGTCTCAGCGTCCCACATATGCACATCCCCTTGGTGTGACTCCAGCGTCTGTGTGACCACGGTGACCCACTGCTGAAGCTCTGACAGCCGGTGGCTGAAGGTGCAGTGCTCCCGCACGCTCTGCTGACAACTGTCCACAAGGTCCTGTGGTACAGCCAGGAGGGTCAGGAAGTCTGAATGCTGCCCCAGGCAGACTGTGAATGATACCCCAATTCTGCAAGACACCTAGATCTGCCTGTATGCCCCCAGCAAGGATTAGGGACCATCATGGAAGATGGGGTAAAAAGGATGTAAGAGCCAGAGGAAGGGAAGGATGCTATGACATGTACAGTTGGCAAACTTACGAACTCACAGCAGCTACAGTTAGAGAACCAAGTCAGTCAATACAACAGCTTGGGCAAGAGAGGGGCTCCAGAGGCCCCACCCCTACCTGAGAGTTGTCAGCAGCTGAAGGTTACAGGGGGATGAGGAGTCATTTCTTCTTTGGGCATGGCCTCTGCTAGGTTGCCCGTATTTCAGTGGGCGGTCCCACACCTCTCCCCATATGGGCAGCACTAACCACTCAGTGGATTACAATTTTTTAAAAAGGAAAAGGTGGGGATGGTTCAGAAGTGGGAGGGGGAATAGGTGGGCGTGATGAAGATTCATTGTGTGCTTTGTGAAATTGTTAAAGAATAAATAAAAAATAGTCTTTAAAAAGAATGGGCGGCCTGGGACCCCCTGCACTATGGTGGAGACACCTGCAAGCATTGTGTGGAGGGGTGGAGCAAACAGCTCGGAGGGAGGGGCTGTCTTCCAGGGGGAGTGATAGACAGTTCATGGTGGGCGGGGCATGAGGCAGGCTAGTAAGGGTTCTTAAATGTTTGTTCTTTGAGATTCACTGTTTTCTTTTTGCATACGCTTATGATTCTGTACAAAGGTTTTCCAAGCTATCTTGTTTTTTGTTTGTTTGTTTGATTCCTCCATCCCTGCATCCTGTTTCCTGGGCCTGCCAGTTTCTCAGATGTCTGAATCATGGACCCTCCTCTTCACTGTCTTCAGGAAAGCCGGGCACTGTCCTCAGGAGGATGGTCATTCTCCGTTCTTCTGGTCCCCTTGCCTGGGACTCTCTGAGGCCCCCTTTTCAGCCTACCATGAACCATCCAGACTCCTGTCCACTGCCACTTTTCTCACTGTGTTACCCTGAAGCTCTCCTGCCTCCATGCTGGGCCCCCTGTATTAAAAACAGTCACCGGCAGAGATACGGACGCCAGGCCCCTGCCAAGCATGAGCCCAATGGAGGATTTAGCATTCTGCATACTGCACCTACCTTCAACAACTCGGCCTCAAACATTTTCTAAGCCCTGCTCCTCTGCATCCACACTGCCAGGACCTGCTTACCAATACTAGCTAACTACCCCCAAGGGCTTCCTGCCACAGGGACCTGTGGGCTCTGACATGCTCCCCGTGGACATGATAGCTAACCTTGCTTGTCAGCTTGACTTGATCTAGAATCACCATGGAAACAGTCTCTGAAAGATCGTCTAGGTTTGGTTAACTGGGGTGAGATGTTCCATAAAGGTGAGTTGCCCTACTCCATGCGTCAGGGCCCAGGGCTACGTGAAAAAGGAGAAAACTGGAAACAGTTGGATCTCTGTGGGTTCGAGGCCGGCTTGGTCTGCATAGGGCTCCAGAGTCCACCTCTTTCTACTTCCTGACTGAAGACCCAGTGAGACTGGCTGCTTCAAGCTCCTGCCACCATGGTTCCCTGAACCATGAGGAGCTACACCCAGGAACTGTGAGCCAAAGCAAACCTTTCTAGTGCCATCTTTGTCAGGTACTTTGTCACAGTGATGACATGAAGGCCACTTGGCTGTGAGGGAAGGAGGAGTTTACACTCACTAGACTTAACAAGCACTGGATGTCTGAATAAGGGGGACAGTCTCTCTTTACAGAAGCATGATGGGATTTCACCCTCTTGTGACCGCTAATGACACCCGGTAAATGTGTCCTCTAACAACTGGCCTAGCTCACCATTTGGATATAGTTTCTGGAGCTGACATTTGCCACTTCTAGGGGCTTCTAGAAGGTGGGAACACTGTCCTATCTCTCTATTCCCTTTCTTTGTCCCTGAGATAACAGATGCAAGTTTACTTAGCAGGATCAGTGAATTCATCCAGACACAAGGTGTAACTTAGGCCAACAACACTCCTTAGGTCCTGGTGTATGACATCACCAAGTTTCCTAGAGACTCCCGGGGAAGCATTTGTGACGGAGAGTGACGGAGAGTGATGGATCAGGGGCCAAAAGTAGCAGGCAATGTAGTGTGTTCTCACTCCCCGGAGGGAGGGAGACAGAACTGCTCCACATCCCACAAAATTGTCTCATGCCGCCCATGTCCACAGTGACAAAAGGCCTATTTGCCATGGCCTGGGATTGGGTTCAGTGGTAGTCTGAATGTATGTATGTATGTATGGATGGATCCCAATAAGATCACAGGGAGTGGCACTATTAGGAGGTGTGGCTGTGTTGGAGTAGGTGTGACCTTGTTGGAGGAAGTGCGTCACTGTGGGGGGGGTGCGCTTTGAGGTCTCAGATGCTCAAGCTATGCTCAGTGTAGACCCAGTTCATTTCCTGTGACCCGAAGATCCAGATGCAGAACTCTCAGCTCCTTCTCCAGCACCATGTCTGCCTGCACGCTGCCATGCTCCACCATGATGATAATGGACCGAACCTCTGAACTGTAAAGCACCACAACTAAATGCTCTCCTTTATAAGAGTTGCCATGGCCATGGTGTCTCTTCACAGCAATAGGAACTTAACTAAGATGGGTGCAAGGAGGTCTTTGAAGTTCCAATGAGGCCACTGACTTGCTAGGGACACACCCATGCTTTATACTAAGGACCGTGCTTGGGTTTGGTCAAGATTTTATCTCACCCCTAGAGGTAGTGCTAGCCATGCTGCAGGAAGTGAAGTTAGTGGTTGCGGCATGAAGGGAATATTTCCTGACTCCTGATGATGACCAGAGCTTGCTTATCTGTAACCACTTATGTATGACTTGATTATGATGTCTCTTTCTAGGGGCTGGAGAGATGGCTCAAAGATCAAGAGCACTGACTGTTCTTCCAGAGGACCGGGGTTCAATTCCCAAAACCCACATGGCAACTCACAACTGTCTATAATTCCAGGATCCAACACCCTTTCACAGACATACATGCAGGCAAAACACAAATGCACATAAAAATAAAAATAAATTAAAAATTTTCTTTCTATTCTAGACGTTGCTAAATTTTCTGTGAGAGTGGTGTGTCCACCTGTTAGCTTCAGGATGGTAAAAAAAAAAGGTGTTTTCTATGGAAACTGGGTATACAGGGCCAGCTGGGCTGGAAGAAGTTAGCCTAGCACTGAGTTTTCTTGAGCTTGAGCTCCTTGGGGCTTAATTAAAAAGCAGACCCAGGCCTGTCTGAATGGGGGTGTGTAGGGACCCTGGAGCCTGAGTCTCTCTTGTCTCAGTCATTGTCAGGAAGTCTGGGGTTCTGAACACCTGACTGCAGGAAGAGGAATCAATCCTGTGCACCAGAAAGTGCTCAGAGGGCCACTAGAGGGCGCTGCAAACAAGGCTCTGAGGCCACCAGGGCTAGGGGACACAAACAGGAACTGTGTACCCACACGGGCAGATGGGACAAGGCAGCCTTTTCTGTTCTCCATCTGTGTCCCTCATCACAACGTGAAACCATGGCATCGCTCACCGACTTGTTGACTCACCGTCCACCCGCCCAGTCCCCAGGGATGCAGGGCCCTGCCTGTCAGTGTGTGCCCAGAACACTGGAGCCCAGAACAACAGCCGGCCTACAGAAATTGCTCAACAATCAAAGTTACACACATGATGACGGGAAGAAGAGGTTGGAAGGAATGGAGGATGGAAGGAGAAAGGACCTGGGAGTGTAGGATTCTAAGACCTGGCCCTTGCTGCTCAGGCCCTACCCTGGTCCCTTACCTCCAGAGACCTCTTCAGGGCTTGCTGGTCAGAGGAAATCTGGTCCACTTTGTGTTGGTGGTCAGAGTTCCCCTGGGCAAGAGGCCTCACAGCCTCTATCTGTGTCCCCAGATCGAGTCCCTCTTCCTGCAGGCCCTGTGATGGAGAGAAGAGCAAGTGTGCTTGGCCACCTGACCCTCCATCTGGAAGCCCCTCCATCCATCCCAGAAGCCCCTCCATCCATCCAAAAGCCCATCAATCCATCCACCCAGAAGACCTTCCATTGCAGAAGTCCCTCCATACAGAAGACCCTCCATCCATCCCAGAATCCCCTCCATCCATCCAAAAGCCCATCAATCCATCCACCCAGAAGACCTTCCATCGCAGAAGTCCCTCAATACAAAAGACTCTCTACCCATCCCAGAATCCCCTCCACCCAGAAGACCTTCCATCTGGAAGCCCCTCCATCCATCCCAGAATCCTCTCCATCTATCCAAAAGCCCATCAATCCATCCACCCAGAAGACCTTCCATCGCAGAAGTCCCTCAATACAAAAGACTCTCTACCCATCCCAGAAGCCCCTTCACCCAGAAAACCCTCCACCCAGAAGCCCCTCCATCCACCCCAGAATCCCCTCCACCCAGAATCCCCTCCACCCAGAATCCCCTCCATCCATCCCAGAAGCCCCTCCATCCATCCCAGAATCCCCTCCACCCATCCCAGAAGCCCCTCCACGCTGGAGGCCCAGTGGGGTAGGGGCTGAGTGGGAGAGCCCCTGGTTGGGGTTCCCAGGGTAGCATGCTCTCTCTGTCAGTGGCTGTACCACATGGGTGGTCCAACAGATTCCCGTTCAGGGCAAATGAATCTGTAAAATTCAGACACAAATATCCTGGGGTACTATTAAAATAAACTATAGGAAAGACCAGACAGCGTCTTGGGAAAGAAACTCACGTCTGGACTCTCACTGAGTGACCACTGGCTGTTATGAAGAATTATACCCACTTCAGTGTTAAAGCCTCAAATGTACCACCCTTAATGTTTTCCAGAGAATCCTGTTGGCTTACACAGGAACCATGTTTGGGTTTGAAACAATAAACATTGTGTCATGTGCATGATAAAAACCAGTAAAGCTCCTCAGCCAACCAGCGATTCCCAATGACTCGCCTGCACGCAGTCCACACGTGATAGGAAACATCTTCCTAATCGCAAAATTGGTTTATTCAACTGAAAGTCTCCGGACTCAACAAAAATAGTTCATACGACAGTTAGCCCTCATTGCCAACTTGACTGGATTTAGATCTAGAAGACCCCTCTGGGTGTGTCTATGGGGTATTTCCAAATACCGAAGAGGGAAAACCCACATTGAATGTGGATGGCACCACCCCATTGGCTGGAGTCCCGAACCGAATAAAAGGAGAACCAAAATGAGTGCCGTTGTTCAGACTTCGGAACCCAGGGGCAAACAAAAAGAACTGTTTGTGGCCCCGTTAGACTCGGCGGCTTGGTGGTGCTAACAGCTGAACAAGCAGATATCTACTAAGAGTTAGGTCTGCAGAAAGGACCTTAGGCTCAGGGTGGTGACTGCTTTGCGGTTTGCTGCCAGGAGGGGGAGCTCCTGCGCAGGCAACAGTGCTCTGGGTGACAGGGCCACTCCTTCTCACCTGCAACCTTAAGAGCTGGACCTGCTTTCCAGGAAGGTCCCGCTGAAGCCCTTTCTCTGCTTGGATCCTGGCTTGGAGATCTAGGAGCTTCCTGTGGAGGGGGTCAAAAGCCACCCCGAAGTCTTTGTGCTGGGCGAGCAGGCTCTGCAAACAGAACTACAAATGAAGTATTTTTCTCAGAGCACCTTGTAAGGCCTGACACTGGGCTGGGTGGCTCTCTCCACACTCCCTCCGGACTCATCTCCTCCAGAAAGCCCTCCCTTATGGGTCACTCCAGTGTTCTCTTTAGCCGCGGGCCTCAAGAGCAGCCCTCCCCCATACACCAACTCTCAGCAGAAGCTTGTTTATAAATAAGATTTTATTAGAACACAGGCCTGCCTCCTCATTTCCATCTGAGTCCCTGCCGTAGAGGCAGAGTTGGGCCAGCATCTCCTCTGCCTGGACCCTTGCAGCAGCTGCAGCAGCAGGAGCAGCCTGTATATCAGAGGTTCTCAACCTTTGGGTGGAGACCCCCTTGGGGGTTGAATGAACCTTTTATGGGGAACCTAAGATGATTAGGCAACACAGATACTTACAATATGATTCATAACAGTAGCAAAGTTATGGTTATGAAATAGCAACAAAAATAATCTAGTGGTTGGGGGTCACCACAGCGTGAGGAGCTGTATTAAAGGTCACAGTGTTGGGAAGGTTGAGAGCCTCTGTGCTAGACCTTTGCTTAGACGGCTCTGCAGACACCCTCTGTAGCTGCCCTTGTGCGTGCTGCCCCCACCAGCAGCGTCGGCGGCGTGAGAGTGAAGACCTCACTTCCTTTCTGGCTCCCCCAGCTTCTGCAACCCTGCCTCATCCTGCTGATGAAGTAAGATCGCGGGCTTGGAGTCAGGTGATGCAGCCTGAACCCTGACCCCTCTACAATGAGATACCCGACAGACTCTCCTCACCTGTAAAGCAGGAAAGCTGGTGGCACCGCCCCCCCCCACAGTGTCAGCTGGACAAAGAGTAGCAGCTGCCTGGCCCAGAGCCAACACCTGTAGACCGTAGCTATTACTAGCCACTCAGCAAACATTTGGCAGCTAGAACAGGCTGTCTGCAGAGTGCCAAGCCATGGCTCTGACTTAATGCAGTCAAGAGCATGCCATTAATAACGTTCACTTGCTGTGTAACAATCTTTTTGTACACTGTGAATATGTATTACTCTAATTGGTTAATAAAGAGCTGACTGGTCAATAGCTAGGCAGGAAAAGGTTAGGCGGGGCATGCAGTCATAAAGAGAGACTGGGGAGAAGAGGGAGGAGTCGCCAGGAGATGCAGAGAGAAGCAAGATGAACGTGCCGTTCTGAAAAAAGGTACCACCATGTGGCAGAACACAGGTAAGAAATATGGCTGGGCGGTGGTGGCGCACGCCTTTAATCCCAGCACTCGGGAGGCAGAGGCAGGCGGATCTCTGTGAGTTCGAGGCCAGGCTGGACCGACAGCCTTCAAAACAATACAGAGAAACCCTGTCTCGTAAAAACCAAAAAAAAAAAAAAAAAAAAAAAAAAAAAAAGAAAAGAAAAGAAATATGGGTTAATTTAAGTTGTAAAAGCTAGTTAGTAATAAGCATAAGCTATCAGTCAAGCATTTATAATTAAGTCTGTGTGGTTATTTGGGAATTGACAGGCAGTCCTGATGAAAAACTCCACCTACATTCACTCCTAGAATCATGGTGGGTGAAAATTAGCAAACACTTGTGTCTGCATTTTCTATTACATTTAATGTGTGTGTGTGCGCGCGCGCGCGCGCGCGCGTATGTGCGCACACATACATAAACATGGGGAGGTGACAACTGTAGGAGTTGGTTTTCTCCTACCATCTGGGACCTGGGGACTGAAATCAGGTAGAGACCGGGCAGCAAGCGCCTTCACTGGCTGAGTCTTCTCACCCACCCATCTCTGCTTGTCCATCCTCTCTACCGAAGACTTGATTGAAATGTAGAAAACAGGGTTAGGAGTGACCAGCAGCAGACAGGTGACTAGGGAGCCAGTTAGAGGGGTCACGTGAGAGTCCTGCCCCGTCTACAGACACAGAACCTGAGGTTGTGGGAAACCAAGGCATATATCCGGAGCCCCTGGGCAGGGGTGGGGCTGAAATCAGAATACGCAGAAGGGCTGTGCCCACGCCCTGGCAGAGCTCCAGGGCGAAGCGGCGGCCGCTCACCTGCAGTTTGCTCTTCGTCTGCAGAAGGCTGTTATGCAGTAAGTCTCTGTCCCTCACGGAACTTGCCACCTGCTCCAGGAGAGCGGCTGCTCTCTCCTGGCCGAAGATGCTGCCCAGCAAGTCCGTCTTCAGCCGCAGCATCGCCAGTTGCTCTTTCAGGCGGGAGCTTTCCGCTAGCGCCGCCTGTGGGAGACAAGGTACCCATGCACCTCAGACAGCCAGGCCCAAGCTCACACCATGGCTGTGTGGGAGCGGTGATACTGGGAGGCTCTGAATTTCAGGATCCATGTTGGTTTTCTTTTACCCAGCCTCACCCATCTCATTAGCAAAGGCCAAGTAACAATTCACCCCCCTCTTTCCGGGAAACGCTGTCCCCTCCATCATCACCGCCGCCAGCTATGGCGCACGCTCAGCCTCTCTCACCTGGACCATGGCGCCTGTCTGCCTGTTGCTTCTAAGCAGGTACCCCAGCGCTGACCCCCCCACACCTCACCAGCGTGAGTCTCCATGCCTCTACGCCAGCGGTTCTCAACCCTCCTAATGCTGTGACCCTTTAATACAGTTCCTCTCGTTGTGGTGACCCCCAATCATAAAATTATTTTCATTGCTACTTCATAACTGTAGTTTTGCTACTGCCAGGAATCATAATGTAAATATCTGATATGCAGGATCTCTGACCCTGTGGAGGTCACAACCCACAGGTTGAGAACCATTGTTCCAGAGTGTCCATCACCAACAATCCTTCTGAAATTCCTGAAAACACCTTGCTTTTGGACCTCTGGCTTTGAGACCTAGGAGACAATAGACTTTTTTCTTTCTTTCTTTCTTTTTTTGTTGTTGTTGTTCAAGACAAAGTTTTACTCTGTAGCCAAAGCTGGCCTGCAGATTACTACATAGCCTAGGCTGGTCTTGAACTCACAGCAATTCTCCTGTCTCTGTCTCCAAAGTCCACAGCTATATGACATGATCCTTAATACACAAAAATTGTAAATTAATTAGATTTTTTCTCTTTCACATGGAAAGGTCTGGATGAATTTCATAAATAAAAGGACAGGTTTAGGACATTCTGACTGAAAATTGAGGTTTGTAGTACACACAAATTTCACTTGGGATCATTTCATAGATGTCCATGAGGATCATCTAAAAAAGATGACCATGGAGACAGGACTCACCCACTAAGAGGCCACCCTTCCATGGGACCTGGGCTCGATTCCCAGCACCTACATAACATCTGACAAGTGTCTGTAATTCTCCTTTCTGGAGATCTGATGCCCTCTTCTGGCCTCTGTGTGCATAGATACACACAGTCAAAACATCCACACACACAAAAATAATAAAATAAAAAATTCAGAAAGATGACCACCACAGTCACAGAGATAGCATAATAGTTAGCAGAGCATGTTACTATTGCAGAGGACCTAAGTCCAGTTCCCGACAACCAACTCTAACTCCAGCTTCAGGACAGAATTTGTTCAGATCTAATTCCAGGGAGCTCTGTTGCCCTGGCCTCCTCGGGTACCTCTGCTCACATGCACATACCCACACACGGGCATACATATAATGAAATTTGTTTTTCCACTTTAAAAAAAGAGAGAGATGGCCAGCATCATCCTTCAGTGCCTAAACATGGGAGAAGGCATCTGTCCAACCCTTGGGAGGCAGATCCTGTCCCGCTGTCAGTAACTATGGAGCTAGGCTTAATGGTACAAGTCTAACCTCAGCATTTGGAGGGAAGAAACGGGCAGATCTCTTTAAGTTCATGGCCAGTCTGGTCTACATAGTAAGTTCTAGGCTAGCCAGGCCCACAGAGTGAGACCCTGTCTCAAAAACTAAATAAAATAAATAATTAGGGAGAGATTGAAGTTGGGGAGACAGGCCAACAATTGAGGCGCTGGCTGAACAAGCCTGAGGACCTGAGTTTGAATCCAAAGAAACCCAAATAGATGCTGCATGGGAGTGATGACTGTGATTTCAGCTTATGAAGACAGAGGGGCCAGGGATCCCTAAAGCAAGCTGGCTAGCAAGACTAGTCACACCAAGTGAGCTCCGGGTTCAGTGAATAAGTTGAAGAGCAATGGAGTGATTCCTATCATCAACCTCAGGCTCACACATGGGCAGCTCCAAGCTGCAGGCTGAGCCGTGTTCTCCAGGGGGAGCAGGGTCAACCCTGAGTAAAGACTCTCCCAGCAACGCCCAGTAGGCCAGAACAGCGAGGGGAAAACTACTCGGTATGATGATGGTGGTCCTGTGCTTTGTGGGGTGGGGGTACTTTTTGTTTAACTTTCCAGAAATCTTTATGCTTTCACGGGACTGTAGGAATGTTTCCATAATCAGAACAAAAACTAATATAAAATGCAGTTGACATCCGGCACATTTTCATGCCTCTCTCTGCTCTGTGTGTCTGAGGATCCCGGGACCCAAGAGCATCTCATGGACTCAGAGCGCAATGGTAGCACAAAGCAAGGTTTATGAGCCAATCAAAGCCCCAGTGTTGAGGCACTCCGTGGTGGATGCTGCCAAATGCCCTCTCTGTAACCATCCCTCTCTCTCCAAACAGCCCACATTTGTCTTGTGCCCAACTGAAGGCCCAGAATTGTTAGTGTTACTGGTGCAGCCAGTCATGACAATTTCACCATCTTCAGCCAGGCTCTGGTTTAAAGGGTGGTCACATGACATGCCCGACCAATGAGATGAAAGACTCCCAGGAAGGCTTTCCCTCCTTGTTGGCAGTGAGAATGGTGATGGGGCGAGATCTTGGGCCCCTGTGCAGTTCCCACCAATAACAAGTACTGCTTTCTACTCGGCGTAAGTGGGGGCCAGAAAGAGACATGCCTTGGAGCTAGGAGAGCCTGGGTTCCAGATGACACCGTTGAGCCATTAAATTGGCACAATGGCCTCGGTGTTTGAAGTCCCCACTGATCAGACTGTCATTGAAGATGCAACAAAGGCAATGACTTGCTACACCACTCTCTTGCAGAGCCATTAATACTCTACCTATGGTGGGGGCCCCAAGGGAGACAAAATTCCTTGTAGCTTCCAGAAGGTCTGTGAAACTCACAGGAGGCTTTGGCTCTACCTGAGGACCAAGGACAACTTTTGTCCCTGAGACAAGTGATGACCCTTCCTGTACACTCGGTACCTGGCTGACACCGAGCAGTCAGCTGGACCCAGGTGTCTCGAGGAGCCAAGTGCACTCTTGTCCCTGGGACAGAAGCTGGGAGGCCACGCCCTGGGCCAGCACCTCCCCAGCCCCACAAAGCCTGCTTACCTCAATCTGCGGTAGGAAGGTGTGAACGGAGGGCAGGTCCGGCAGGCTGGTGGTGACATCCAGGAGCCTCTGGGCCAGGGCCTTCCACAGCTGCAGGTCATTGAGGGGCCGCTGCAGACGCTGCCACAGCTCTGCCCTAGTTGCGTGGTGGAGCCTGTTGTTCTTTCCTTTCAGACTGCCAGGGCAGCAGGGGGCACAGACCCGGAGAGCACAGAGTGAGATCAGTCCAGGGTAAGGCCTCTGCCCAGGCTGCCGGGGCAGGCAAAGCCCTCCTAACACACGGGCTGCTGCGAGTGTGCACTGATACACGCATAGGAAGTGGGTGGGAACTCGTGAGCACCCAGACAGAACAGCACTGATCACATACATGCCTGGGGGCTTCCCCAGGACAGACCCTTGGCTCTCTCAGGCCTGGAGGCACTCAAGGAAATGAGATACACGAGTATCCTCTGGGTCCTCAGGATCTGAAAAGCTGAAGGTCTAGAGTCAGGCAAAGCAGCTGTGACCTCTGTGGCTCAACCGTCAAGGCCCGGTTTCCTCATCTGAAGAACGAGTAACACAGCGCTCGCTCCTCGCACTGCTGCTAGAAACTTCCGTAATCTTGATGCCCTTCACACCGCTCCCAGGAACATTTGTGACACTGGAGGCTTCTTAGTAACAGAAAGCTAGAGACTGCCCTGCCCACTCAATCCAAGTTTTAAAAGAAATAAACGATGAAAACGTGGGTCTGGGACCCAGAGCTACTTTGAGCCTAAGGGCATTTGTCAGCCTAGAAGAGGGTGCTGCAGATGAGCTAGCCTGTACCAGCCCCCTGAAGGAGGACACTAAAAGCAGCATGTTCTGACAGCCATACCCTTCATGAAGCTGGGACCTTGAAAGCCGGGCTCTCCGGATAAAAGGGCATGAGCTGTCTTCACACAGAGCTAGCCCAGCTTCAAGGCAGGAGACCAAAAGCCTTGGGGGTTAAACCATGGAGACCTAACCTGGTTCTGCCCAGTCAGTCCAAACCCAACCCTGGTTAAGATAACACGCCAGAGTCAGCTACTTCCTATCAGCAAGTTTTCATATACAAGATCCAACACCAGATAAAGCACCCTGATCCTGATTAACTGGGCAGACCAAGCTGAAGGAGAGGAGACCCATGGCTACTATGCCTTTGTCTGTTCTGTGTATAGCAAGCCCAAGTCCTAGCCTAGCCCTGCTTCAACATCGGGCAGCAGAATGTAGGCGCTATCCCACTTTTACAGATGTGGAGCCTAGGGACAGCTGTGGGTGAGAGACACAGCCAGATGAAGCTCCTGTGTCCACTCTAAAGGAATCCCTCATAACCAGGCAGCAGTGTAAGATGTACTAGAGGGGTGCTACTGGGACGGCTGAGCTGTTTTTAGGATGCATTCTTGGCATAAAACGGTGAGCGCCCTAAATGTGCAGTGCTCATTTCTGCAGAGGGAGGTCACTGCTCTACGCTTTGCTGAGCCCAACTGTGCCCACCGGCAGAGAGGGGATCAGAGGCAAAGCATGGTCAGAGGTAGAGGAGTGGTGCTCACTAACATAGCAGCCCTCCCTTACGACACTGCATGGCAAAGCCCGCCCCTGCAATGTCCAGTCACTCAAGACCCAGGCAAATGGAGTAATGGAAGCAAAGCTTACGCACGCCTCTTGCTGGGAGCCACATGCAAGAATGAGGAGAGGGCAGTCTCCACTGAGTAGAGACTTGGCATCCCCCAACACTCCATCCTCTACACAAGGGAAGCCAAGTATCCAGCACCCTGAGTCCCACCCACCCTTAGTCCCGCCCACCCTCAACCTCTCTGAGTACCTTTGATATTCCTGAATGGCAGCTACCACGCTGTCAGAAAGAGACTGCAGGTCGGGGAAAGTGACAAGTTCCTTCAGTTGAGTTTGTAGCCGGTCTACACGGGGCTCCTCTGAAGCCAGTGCAGCCCGTGTCCCCTGCAAGACATGACAACCAGACACTAGTGAGGCTCCTTAGGGGAGTGACAGTGTGTGTGCAGGGGCTGAGTAGAGGCTGGGGACTGGCCAGGCTGAGGACCTTGTCACCAAGGGAATGGCCTGGGGGAATCTTACCCTTAGGCTCGGCCCCTGGTCCCTTCCCTGTAGCAGCCCAGTTACACACGGGTCATCTTCCCCACAGTGACACTGTGACATGTAGCTCCATTCTGCTGTAGTTGCTTCCATTGGATGGATGCAGCCCTGCCCTCTGGTTCTGGGGTATCTTAAACTGTAGGCCCCCACCTGGGTTCAATTCCCGGCACTAACATAAAGGATAACTCTGAAGCACAGAGCTCCAACAGAAGGGATTTCGGGAATGTGGAACATTGGTTAGCAAGCAGGACTCATGTCAAAAACCTCTTAAGTTCCGACATTTTTAGATGCTAAGCCCTTTCTCCCGCCCTGCTGCTGTTAGTCCAAATTCATACACCTGAAGTTAAAACCATTCCCCCAAAGCTGCCAGGAGAGAGGAGCCAGCCTGAACCCATGCGGTCTGGTTCCACAATCCCCATTCTCAACCAGTGCCCCACGCTCCAACTCAGACTGAAGCTGGTGGCCCTTGAAGACGCCTGATCGCCTTTGTAGAAAGATCAGTGCGAGCAGGCCTGCTGGGAGGCTGGGTGAAAGAGCTCCCAGTGTAAAGGACAGAGGAGGACACCTTAGTACCGTGGTGGGGCAGAAGAGAGATCGGGTGACTTTTTAAAAAGATATTTCCTTCAATGGCCGCCTGCTCGAGGGACTAGCGAAGGAACCTGGAGTCTTGTGCAAGCTATTAAAGTTCCACCATTGAGCTCCAGCAATAGCTTCAGATATTTCCTTCCACCAAATCATGATATTAACAACAAAGTAATGGGTTGGGGAGTGTTGGGAATCTTTATCTAAAACCCTTCTGTGACATTGAAGGGGTCCATAAGGGCCTGTTTGTCTTGTCTTCCTGGCTGGCCCTACTTCCTGGCTTAAGAGGTGAATGGTTTACTCTGCCGTAGACTCTCATCATGGCACACTGGCCCTGCCAGAGGCCCAAAGAAATATAGTCACTGGATCTCTCATGACACCTCAGTAACATGCGCCACAACAAACCTTTGTTCCTTGTTAAGTCGGTTGCCTCTGCTGTTTTGTTACAGTAACATGAAGGTGACTAGGACTTCCTGAGTGGGTGGGAGCCTACATGGGCTTCCCCAAATAGGTGCCCTTCCTCCACCTCCCCAGGCCCTACCCTGGGTTTGCCTCTCATCTTCTCCCCACCTCTGACCTCACTGCTCCCGGCCAGAGCACCCGTCCCTTATCCCAGTGCTAAGTAGGAAGGGGCTTGCAAGTCCACGTCTGGATGGCTTGTGTTCCTTGGGTCTTAATTAGCCACCAACTTATTGTGTGGCTTTAGAGATTGCAAGGCAGGAAAATATTTCAGGCCTCAGTTTCTTCTGAAAAATGGGAATAAACACCTTCCTTCTCAATGACCCTTTCAGGGAGCTCAGGTGCCAAAGAATCAGAGAGTGTGCGTAAGACCCGATTACGACGCTTTGTCACAGAGTAACTCTAAGGGGCAACCTGAGGCCCAATGCACCCCAGTGCTTACCGAGAACAGCCTCCAGTGGGCCACCAGCTCATCATCTGTGGCTGTCTTCATCACGGGCTCCAAGCTCTCGTGGGCCAATCTCTGGAGGCTTTTCTTGAACTCTCCCAGCTCCATCTCCAGTCTCAGGATCTGCTGCTCACAGGCCCCCTTGGCCTGGAGCAGGTCCCGCAGCCTCTCTTCCTCCTCATTCCAGAGGACTCTCAGCTTCTCCAGGATGCCCCGCATCTCCTCCAGCTCCCCGGAGATCTTCTCCGCACCCAAGGGAGAGGTGTTCCGAATGACACCCTCAGCCTGCTCCTCCAACCTGTTCAAAGACTCCTGGCCCCTAGGGAAATCCTTGGCAATGTCCTGTCCAGGGTGATTGAGAGGGAGACAGCAGGAAAGCAAAGGTTAGCTGTGCTCTCAGAGCAGCCCTGGGAATCATGCCAAGAGTGGACAGACTCGAAGGCAGGAACTATTCCCTCCAGTTTCTTCCAAGTCATTGAGTGTCTCTGTTGGGTGTGTCTGTCGTTCAGCACTGTCTGGCACTTGCTAATGTTTAAAACAAATCGACTTGAAGCCATCAGCAAGATATGCCGTGGGGCCCCAAAGAATCAGGGGCACTGAGCCTCACTGTGTGTGTATGTGATACCTAGTTAGATTTTAGATGCATGTCTATCTATATCGCTGTATCTGTAGAGATGTATGGAGAATTATGTGTGGCTGATGTAGCTCAGGTTGACCTCAATAGATAGCTAAGAATGGCTTCAAGTTTCTGACTCTTGGAGTTCCCAGGTGCTGGGATTACAGGTATATGTAACCACACCTGGGTTTTGTTGCTGCTGTTGTTGTTTGCTTGTTTATTTGGTTTTTGGCTTTGGTTTTGGTTTTTAGAGACAGGGTATCTCTTTATAATCCTGGCTATCCTGGAACTCACTCTGTAGACTAAGCGGGCCTCGAATTCACAGAGATCCACCTGCCTCTGCCTCCTGAGTGTTGGGATTTAAGGCGTGCGCCACTAACGCCCAACTCTATATCTGGTTTTTATGTTTCTGTATTAATTATAAACGGTACTGGCTTTTCCCTTTACAGCAGTGACTCAAGTTTTCTTCTGCCTCCTTTTCTGTGACAGGATCTGATCATAGGTATCCATGCTAATTTATAGTTATCTTTCCCAGGCTGGTCTCAAAGTTTCAAACCTCCCACCTTAAACGCCCAAACATTGGGCTAATGCCTGTGCACCTCCACCTGACTCGAGTTTTCTTTCTAACAATGTCCATCAACTTCTTCAAAGGCAAGTTGATTAAAATATAAATTAACAAGCCCAGCACACAGTGTAGGGAAAGCTAAGAAACGGCTCTTGAACTGATGAGGATAGCTTTCTCTCTGGTTCAAAGGAAGCTCCAATTCCCCAGACTCCAGCAGGCAGTGCAAACATGGAAAGGAGCTCAGCCTGGGCCACGCCCTTCTCTCTACAGCCGAGCTATCCTCACTGTTCTCAGCTCCCGCTAGTCTCGCTATGTGCTCTCTATTCTCTATCCCTGCTTCTCCCCTTTCTTGCAGCCAGCCCTAGCCATATCCAGTCTGCTGGCCATGTTCAGTCTATTTCTCTCTTTCTTCTGTCCTGGACTCTACCAGATGGCTCTGGCTGTTGTCTCAATAAAATCTTTCCCCTTAATCATACCACAGAATAGTCAAATTCGGCAATTTTTTTTACTGCACATCTTTTGCATAACCAGGTGCCAAAACCCTTGCATATATTCACTGGGTGCAGGACCTAGAGGCTCCCCCAAGGCCACGCAGTGTGGAAGGTGGCATGGACCCATGCCCCCTGGCCACAGCATGGTAGCCCTCCCAAAGCTCTTCATCCTGGCATGGCTGGCATTTGAGTAGGATGATTCTCCATTGTGGTGCTGCTCTGTAGGGTGCATAGCTGCATCCCTGGTCTCCATCCTCTAGGAGCCAGGGGTAGCACCCACTCGGACTTGTAACGAATAAAAATGGCTCCTGACTGAGACCCATGGGCTCCTGGAATCCTACAGGTCCAAGTGTCCCACCGTCAGCCACCGCCCCAAATGTTTAGTCCTAGATCTCTAACTCTCTTCCCAGGAGTCTGTGCTGTGGGCTGTGGGTGTCTGTGTCTGGTGTCAAGACACCCTAGCGGGGACACGGTGACCTGACTGGGTCCCCGTGATGTACCTGCAGTGCAGAGAGGCGAAGCTCCGTAGTCAGCTTGCAGTTCCGCCCCAGGCAGCTGTGAACCTTCTCCACCACCGCCTTCAGCCACAGCTGGAACTCGTTCACATCCTCCCGGTACTGCTCATGCTCCTGGGCCACCTGGGCCAGGAGGTCCACCCTATGCTGCAAGAGGAATTGCCTGCCATGAGGGGCCCCAGCCTGGCTAGGAGCCCACTGCCTGTGGCTGGGGCCCTTTAAGGCCAGACAACCATAACCGGCTTGGTAAGGAGTCAGGGTGGGATCTTCGGGGATGTGTGAGTGTGCGCATCAGGGATTCTGGAGTCAGAACCAGGCACCGGAGTCCCACACATACCAGCACCTGCCCTGGCCAGCCGTACAGCTGGCGTTCTTTCCCAGTATGTCTGAGGAATGCCCCCTGACTAGGGTACAGGAATGACACCATCCCCAGAAACGACCACAGAACACTGTCCCCCTGAGCCATTGTCTTTGCCCTCGCCCTCGCCTTTACCCTTGCCCTGCTGTGGGCACTGCTAAAAATGTCCCATGCAAACTCTGTAAACTCCCCTGGACACTGAGGCCCAGAGAGTGAAGTAACATGCCCAAGGTCACCCAGCTAGGACAGCCAGGGATGTGGGGGGTCTGGGCTATATAAGAAAGATGGCGGAGCACGACCTTGAGAGGAAGAGTAAATCAATAGCAGCATCCTTCTGTGGGCTCCACTTCAGTGCCTGTCCTGACTTGTGTCTGTGATGGACACTGACCCGGAATAGTAAGCCAAGCGAAGGATCTTCTCTTCCCCAGAAAGCTTTTGGTCAGAGTTTGCGTCACAGCACTAGAGGAGCAAAGGTCAAAGGGAGTTTGCAGAGAAAGTCAAGGAAAGTATCTGGGGACTCACTCATCACGCACCTTGTGTGGCTGGGCATCCATAAGCCATAACCTACTTACCACCCATTGATCATAGAACAATGGGTATCAAATAGGGTCACCCTCCTGGAAAGGTGCGCACTGGAGTCAAGCGGGCCTAGGACTCTCCCAGGGCTAAAGCTGAGAGTCATACAGCAACCATGGCACGGTGCTCTCCGTCCTCACATACTGATAAGGGGGATCTCCCAAGCTGGGGGACCCCAGGCTGTTTCTATCAAGGCCTCTCAGCTGGGGGACCTCAGGCTGTTTCTATCAAGCCCTCTCAGCTGGGGGACCTCAGGCTGTTTCTATCAAGCCAAGTGCTTCCGGCTCTGCCTGTCATGTGGCTTCTACTGCCATTACACACTCGGGAGCTACTCACATTGTGCCCCAGAAGCCGCCAGACAGCAGGGAAAGAATGGCCCTGTTCCTATGAAACCTTTCACTATGAACCCTAGAACTTGAACTCCATGTCACTTCTGCATGTCGTGAAATAGTCATCTTTGAAATTTGCCCTGCTCATTTCAACACCTAAAAACTAATCATAGCCCAGTGCCAAGCAGCTATACATGAAGCCAGATAGTGCAACAGCCAAAGGCTGGTGACCTTAGCTCCTTGCTGTGGAGCAGGCTACGTCTAGGAAGGCCCAGAGCCTGTGGGAAGCTGAGTCACAAGCCCTCCACTGAGGAGGACAGGCAGGTGGATCTCAAGACCTTCCCCAGCGGTCTGTGCATGGTTCTCCTCCTTTGAGACACTGTTCACCAAAACTACTCAATAATAATAACTCATTAAGCCTCAGCAATAACCACAGCGAGCAGAAGAAAATCTCCCCATTTCAGAGATGGGGTAGCTAAGGCTTGGGACTGGTTACTTAGGAGAGAGCTGAGAATCTCAAGGACCACCTGCATCCCAAAGTAGAGCCTTGTGGGGGACCACTGCCTTCATAGGCCAGTCCTCGATCTTCAGAAAGTTGATAGAGCCTCTTCAGTTCCCTCAATGGTCCCCACTTCCTGTGCTGTGGTTTGCACACACAGTTCCTCCGGTCCCAGGAAAGGCTCGTGGATGAGTCACAGTGGGTTACCAGGAACCTCAGAGCCTAATGCTGACGGTGATGGATGAGGGTGGGAAGGGACCCCGCCCCCAAGGATGGAGGGCAGCACTGCCTGTGTGAATGATGAGGTGCTGGCACCCAGTAAAGTCCAGAGTAAATAAAAGCCCGTGATGAGAAGTAGGCGCTGGCAAGAGGTGGCGGCAGGCAGGAATCCAGATGCGCTGAGCGCCAGGCACAGCCATCAGCCAGAGGGAGGGTGACAGGGCAAGGAGCCGTTGAGGGCTCCGCCTTCTCATTAAACCAAGCAATTAAACCATCTGCAGAAAGCAGAGTTATCAGCAATGTTAAAACCCAAGCAATTAATGGGGTAGCTTGGATTTATGTCCCCAGCAAAGGGCTGCAGAAAGTCTAGGACCCATGGCCTGACGCCAGGCCGCCCTTCTCAGAGGCGGAAGAGGGAGGATGCTGCTGTTTGCCAGTCAGAAGCAATGGTTTCAAATCAAACAAGGAAGACATTTCTGGCACAAGCTAGCCTGCCTGCATTTCCCTTTTGTTGCTCACCCCTACGCTGGGCCCAGAAGCTTCTTAGGGGTGGTTCCTGAAGCCAAAGGGGTTGGTCCTGTCCCCACCCACATCAGAGGCTCACTGATGACATTGGACATTCATAAAAACAAACTGGGGGTGCCGAGATAACTCAGCAGGTAACTGTCCCCTTGCTGCCAAACCTGACACCCGAGATGCACAGGGTAGAAGGGGAGAAGGCTGGAGAGGCAGCTCAGAGTTCAAAGCGCTTGCTGCTCTTATGCAGGATCCAAGTTCGGTTCCCACTACCCATGTTAGGCAGCTCTCAAGTGCCTGTAATTTCAGCTTCGTGAGATCCAACACCCTCTTTAGGCTTACAAGAACACACACACACACACACACACACACACACACAATATCTGAGTGTGATGTCACATGGGCCAAATTACCTTTGGGTTTTCCCAAACCATCTGGCCACTTCAACAATCCCTCTAACTCTTCTGGGGTTCAAGAAGAGAAAATCAAGGGTTCACAGCTGGCTCCATAATGGAGGCCTCATGTCCCTACACCCAGCTCCTCTAGGAGCCCCAAATCCCCTCTCTGTGCTAATGCTCAGAGCAACCACACCCCAAGCCACCCCCTCAACCCTACCGATGGACTCAGGTGTGGTGACAGCCCCAAGATCCAAGTCTATCTTGGGAATCAAGAACTTCTGGCTCTTTCTAGTATGTCGGTGGTGACTGGCCTTTGGATTTTTTATTATTGCTGTTTGTCTTTAGCCTGTGTAAATGTACCTGCTCACACGGCCCCTGTCTGTCTACACTGGAAGAAAGAAGTCTGGAGGACTGAAGGGGTAAGCTTAGGAAACACTTGCCCCTGAGAGCTATGACTCGGTTGGGCTCCAGATCATATGAAGGGACAATGAGACTCCCAGAGGCCATGAGCCATGATGCTTCAGAATTGGGGTGACAGTGGTACTCAATTAACTTCCCTGACACCTATCATTCTACTCACACATGTACACATGCAAACACACAAACCTCACACCTCCTCTCTGCTGCTCCCTGGCTCTACTGACTGACGGAGCACCCGTTTCTGTAAGTCACAGGGGACATTCAGGCACATTTCCTAGCCAGGCCTGGAGGAGCAGACCTGGAGAGACAATCCCTCCAGTGCCTGCCCTGATCACACGGGACAGGGGAGTCCAGAAGAGGGCTACTACCTACAAGAGCCAAGTCAACCTGATGCTACCTTGTCCCATCCATCCTGACCCAGGCCAGCAGCCCAGGGAGCCACATGTCCCCAGGAACATTCGTGTGTGTGTGTGTGTGTGTGTGTGTGTGTGTGTGTGTGTGTGTGTGTGTGTTGGAAGGCAGGGTGGTCCCATAAATGGTTCTGTGAGTCAAACTAGGATGCCGCTTCTGGGCACATGGACAATGGGCGGTGGGATGGGTGTAGGATTGGTGTATGGGTAACCAAGAGCTGGAGAGTGGGAGAAGATGGATAAGTAGGCGGTAGGCAGGAAAATAGATGGCTACTATTACCACACTGGAGGACGGCTTGATGGGCGGGGTAAGAGGTTGAAGAGACAAATAGACTACTTAGTTAGGGAGTGGTAGACTGGGGAGTGAGTGGCCAGATGGATAGGGGAGATAGGAGAGTGTGTAGATTCATGGATGGGGCGGGTGGTAGGGAGTCAAAGGGAGGCTTGCTAAAACACTCGGGGAGGGGAGCAAAGCGGCCAGCAGGCTGGGAGGGAGTGGGTGCGTAGATAGACTGACGGTGAGCGGCTGATGAGAGAACGGGCAGATTCCTTGACTGAAAGTGAGCAGGAGACAGGTGGATGGGTGATAGAGCCATCTATGACTGACCTGGGCTCTGGCCTTCACAGCATCGTACTCAGCCTTCATCTTCTTCTGGGCATCTTCATCCACACTGGGGTCCCCGATCCTGTTGAACAGGGAGCCTGCCTCCTCCAGCAGCCTATCCAGGAGCACGGCCTGATTGGCCACATTGTGCAGCAATACCTGGGCGTGGCTCAGCTGCCATTGCTTCTCCTTCAGGCCCAGCTGCAGCTCCACAGGGGGCTCCAGTGTGACCACCATCTTCTGGAACCAGCGGTAAAACTCATCCCGGGCCAGCAGATACTCACTCCAATGTAGCCACACCCACTCAATGCGACTGTGGGAGAGATGGAGGGGCTCAGACGCCTGCCCCTGGGTCCTGGGTATAGAGACCCTGTCGCTGCCCCCTCCCAGATACTGGGGACATAAAGATGCCTTCTCTGCACCAAGTCACATTCCAGATTCTAGGCTCCCCTTTCCTATGAGACCTTGGTAAGTAGTCTCCCAGATGAGGCCAAGCCCAGGTCCTATGTGTACACTCAGCCACCCACCTGGGACATGAAGCTCAGGTGACCCCGAGCCATCAACACCCGAGATTCTGGCTCTGAACTCCCACTGTCAGTACATAAATCCTCACTCTGCCCAGGCCTCTAGCATATGCTGCCTGAAAGCAAGTTGGAGATTGTCCCAGGACTGTGCCTGATATTAGGCAGAATACATCTATCTGAGGGCCAGCTAGTGGCCACCGGGTAGGGATGGAGGACTGAGGGCCTGTGTGAGTTCTCAGGGTAGCTCTGCCCCTTCATCTGCCCCAGTATCTGCCTCTCCAATGTGGAGATGGCCCTATCTCTGCAGTCAGCATCAAGATATTTGTTTGTGATGTCAGAGAAAGGGGTTTGGAAGGTAGGCAACTCTGTTCGATCAGGCACTACCATGTTCAAATTTACATGAGCTCTGGGGACTTGAACTCATGTCCTCATACTTGCATAGCAAGCACTTTACCCAGTGAGCCATCTCCTGCCGTTCTGCAGAGGGGCACATACACAAGCCCATTAGGACTGCTGGTGCAGCAAATCAAGTTTCCAATGTCCACCCATCATCACCATTAGGGTTGCACGTTATCAGAAAGAGGCACTGGCCTGAATCCAAAGAAGACATGCTGTTCCCAGGATCCCTAAACCTGAAGAAGTGTCACTCAGACGGGGGTCCCAGGATGGTATGGCGATGGGCAAGGAGGGTCACCAACATCCGAGCACGTGGCAGTGAGGCTCCCTGACCATCCTCACCTGTGGCAGTGAGTCATGTAGGTGACCGTCTCCTCCCACTGGGACTTGATATCCCTCAGCTGGGCCAGGATCTCAGGCTTCTGGCCCTCCTGACAGATTGCCAGAAGGGCCTCAGCTGCCCGAAGGGCCAGTTCCACCTTCATGCGCCCCTCAGGCTCCAGCTGGCAGATTTTCTGTGGATACAACGGCCAGTTTCCCAGGGTCAGACACAGCCCCACCAGGCACAGTGCCGACCCCCTGACACGCCCCTGAGCAAACTGAGAAGGGAGAGGGAGCTCTGGAGCTTAGCCCTGTCCTTGACCACTGGCTGCATCCAGCTTCCAGTTCAGAGTTCACTCTCTCCCCGGATGTACCTTCTGAGACCTGTACTGTGGTATGAGCAGACCAACTCTCAGACTTTAACTCAGAAGAAAACAAGGGCAGGTAGCATGTATCACTGTGTGTGTGTGTGTGTGAGTGTGTGTGTGTGGTCATGAGGTGACACCCTCAAGTCTGCTGTGAGACATTATTGTGGTCCCCACCCAGCCAAGGCTCTAAGGCATCAGTCACACTGCTCTGCCCTTTGCTTCAAGGCCCTACTCCCACGGTGACAGGAATTCTACAGTCCATTCCTAATGGGTGACTCACTCAAGGACACCCCAGGGCCTTGCCTACATCCATCCAATCTGGCCTGTCTCTCCTGGTCTCTGCCCTTATCTCTGTCTCTTTCTTTAACTTGTGTGTGTGTGTGTGTGTGTGTGTGTGTGTGTGTGTGTGTGCGCATAGATGCCACGGTACATATGTAAAGGTCAAAGGACAATGTTGGGGGGGGTCTATTCTCTCTCACTGTGGGCCCTGGAAATCAAATTCATGTAGTCAAATTATGAAGTATCCTAGTCAACTTAGCAAAACCTAGACCCATCTGTGGAGAGTCTCAATTGAGGGATCTTCCTGGTCAGATTGGCCTGTGGCCATATCTGTAAAGGAATTGTCCCGACTGTCCATTACCCATTTGGGTAGCACCATCCCAGCAGATAAGAGAGAGAGAGAGGCAAAAGAGAGACAGACAGAGAGCATAGCGTTCCTCCACGGTTTTTCCTTCAAGCTCCTGACTTGCGGTCCAGCCTCGGCTTCCTTCATGAGGGACTGTGACCGGAAGCATAAGTCAAACAATCGCTTCCCACTCCATTTTTGGTTACTGTGTTTATCACAGCCTCAGACTGAAACTGGAACACAGTAAGCCCCTTTACTCTTTGATTCACCTCACCAGCCCTGAACCCCATCATCTCTCAGGGGTACGCCTCCTCACAGATGTCTTTAGTCTCTTCTTGCCTCCAGCTTGTCTGAGGGTGGGCATGAGACAGAGCAGACAGTGAACCTCAGTTTATTACTCCATCTCTCGGACAGAAGCCTAGCCTCCTGATCAGGTGATGGGAACAATTTCAGGGTCATTTATGGACTAAAGGGTCGCTCTAGGGTTACCTTTCCCATTGACTTCTGCACATCAGGCCTATGTCGGGCAGGAAGGTAATGGTTACAATACCAGGGCTGTGGTAAGTCACATATTAACATGCTGCCTGGCCTTCACTGTGTTGGCCATCAATAACTAGCCACCATTATTACATTTTTTGCAGACAATAGAATCTCTTTATTTTGTTCTCTTTTATTACTGCCTACTTACTTGGTTTATTGGCAGCTGCCCTTGGCCTAACCTCAAGCTTAGTTGCCAGCTTCCTCCAACTCATGTCCTGGGCAGCCTGATTGTCTCTGCCCCTTCTAGGAGAATGGAAAGGGAAGGGCTCCTGACATTCAAATGTGGCCCTCTCTGACAGTGTGTGACCTCAGGAGAATCACATGGCTCCTCTGTGCATTTCTTTCACTCATACAGCAATCCCTGCTGTGTTCAACTTACATACCGCTTTTTAAGCGTATTGACAAAACGTGCAAGTAAATGTTTGGTCAGTTGCTGTACAATTAGACAGGCCCTCCTCCAACACATGTAAACTAGTCCCTACCCCTAATTTTTGCTTCATATGATAAAAGTTAGCAAGGATGACAACAGTGTATGATAAAACGAAGGCTTCCCACTCACACGAGTTATCAAAGAGTAGAACTTACGAGTCCCTTCCCCTTTTCCCTGTCTCTGTGTGGACTCAGGTGAAGAGTGGGGAGCATCCTTACAAAAGACAAGAGGTTTTGTTCGTTCTGTGGGGTAGCAGGATGTGGCAAGTCACCCTTTCTGGGCAGGGGCTGGGTCAGGCTCCCAGATAAGATCCTGTGTCCCACTCAGTAATGATCAACAGTGAAGAAGACAGCAATACCTCCATGGCCAGGATAGACTGAAGATGCAAAAGCCACTTGCAGAATGTTCTAGACTGAGCATCCAGCATTTGCAGAGTGTTCTAGACTGAGCATCCAGCATTTGCAGAGTGTTCTAGACTGAGCATCCAGCATTTGCAGAATGTTCTAGACTGAGCATCCAGCATGCCGGATACCACCCACCACCAGGATCAGGGCCCTGCAGTATGGCTGGAGATGAATCTTGTGCTGGTCAGAGATCTGATCTGACTAATAATAATAATTAGGGCACGGTGTCTCTCATGCTCAGATGTATGCAGGAGACACCACAGTCCTCACAAACTGCAAGATGAATGTGTTGTTCACTCCAGGTTCACAACTACGAATGTTGAGGACCTGTAGAAGTCAGGGTCTTCAGATAGAGACCACAGCAGCCAGGGAGGTGAGTCTCTCACTGGGCTCTGCAAGCCTCTGCAAACCAAGAGACCCTTTAATTTGGGGAAGGAAGTGAAATCCAGCCTCCCAGGTCATGCCCCTAAGGAACCTGCCCTGCCTGTGAGGTGACAAGGACAAAGCTCTCCTCCCCACAGGGAGGGACCTACTGGGTGACCTTGTCTTCATCCACCTGACCCCTGATGGGAGAAGCTTGGGCTGGACTTGGAGAGACAAGAAAGCTCTGCTCTTTCCAAATGTGTGATCTTGATGCTTCCTTCAGGGCAAAGGAGCTGTCAGGTCCCAGAGGAGATAGAACACTAATCGACCTCCAGTCCCCAGACCTACAGGCTTGCCCCTACTGTCACCAAGCAGGAAGAGCCATTTGCTATGCTCCGAGGCCACAGCAGAGAGGAAGAATTGACCCCTCCTCTGACACACGCACGCTGCCATGGCATGGGGGCTCTCTTCTGTACATCTGTAGGGCCTTCACTAGCAAGCCTGGATCCCAGGGGAGTCTGGCGAGACAGGGGCAGCAGAGTCAGTCTGCAGGCTCGAAGCAGCTGATGACAAGGGTGGGTGCCGATCAGATGGAGAGAAGGAAGCAGGGAAAGCTGGAACAGACTAAGTCAGGAGCTTCCCCTCAACCCAGCCCACACTAGCTGACCTCAGGCTGGGCATGGCGCTGGCGCTGGACAGTGTGGCCTGTTCCGGGATTACCAGGCAGGACAGAGGGAGAGATGCAGACGAGAGAATCCCAGACCTTGATGCAAAAAGGCCCACCTGAAGAACTGGGATAAATCCAAAAGGGCTTCTTGCAGGAGGCAGCACTGATGCCTAGCATGGAAATGGTGCCCACAATAGGAAAGGAGTGGACATAGCTGGGGGTGCACACCCTGGCCTCTGGAAGCCAGACCCCAGCGTATGCTAAGGTACCCATGATAAGAGAGAGGTCTAGAAGCTGGTGGGAAATCTGAGGATGGGTCTCAAGTGCAGAACCCAGAAGGCTGGGAGCCAGAGTGAAGAGAATGAGACATGGGGAGTTGGGAGAGCATCTGGGATCCCTGTGACAAGTATGGTCTGTGTCACAGTGTCCTAGCCCACAGGAAGCAGGTGATCTTCTTCCCACTTCTAAGACTAAACCCATCCACACATTCACATGCATGCACAGACACACATAGACGCACACACACAAGCACACAGACAAACACACACATGCACACACATACATACATACACACATTCACACACACTCACAGACACACATAGACGCACACACACACACATGCACACACACATACATACACACATGCACACATACATACATACATACACACATTCACACACACTCACAGACACACATAGACGCGCACACACAAGCACACACACACACATACATACACACATGCACACACATACATACATACACACATTCACACACACTCACAGACACACATAGACGCACACACACACACATGCACACACACATACATACACACATGCACACATACATACTACATACATACACACATTCACATACACACAGACACACAGACACACATAGACGAACACTCACAAGCACACAGACAAACACACACATGCACACACATACATACATACATACACACATTCACACACGCACACACACACACACACCCCAGCCTAGACAACAGCTCCTCCTATGTCCCTCTCAGCCCCCACTCACAACCTGCCAGCCTGCCAGGGTCTCCCGTGACGGGCAGCTGAGGAAGGGCCCTGGAGGACAGTGATGCTGATGGGCAGCGATGGGCGGGAGGGTGCGAGGAAGCCAGTTGGGGTCAGAAAAGCCTGGCAGTATTTCATTTCACGTGCTCACCCGTGCCAAGCTGACAGGCACTCTGAGGAGATGCAGTTCACGGGCAAAGGCTTAGTGACAGGACATCGAGGAGGAGCGCATAGGCTTGGGAGGGCTAACAAGGGAGTCTTAGACATGGAGTTCTCATGCCAGGTGAAGTTTCGTTTCCCTTTGCTAGATAATGGGAGCTGCGGACAGTTTCAGAGGAAAGCAACACAAGACTCTTTTTTTCCCCCTGAGACAGGGTTTCTCTGTAGCTTTGGAGCCTGTCCTGGAATTCACTCTGGGTGTGCCTGTGAGGGCTCTGACAAAATCAACACATACGTGCCTGTGTATGTATACCACATGTGTGTCCCCAGAGGCCAAAAAAGAGTGTCTGATCCCCTGGAGCTGCAGTTACAGGTAGTTATAAGCTACCCAACATGGGTGCTGGGAACTGAACTCAGGTCCTCTGAAAGAATGGAAAGTAATCTTAACTGTTGAGCCATTTCTCCAGACTTCCTTGACGTTTTAAATAATTTATTTTGTTTTTAGTTATGTGTATTCGTGTCTGTGTGGGGGTGTGTGTGAGAGAGTGCAGGAGCAGGTAGAGACCGGAAGACAGCAGATCCCCTACAGGAAGAGGTACAGGCAGCTGTGGGCTACCAGACCGGAGTGCTCCTATTAGGTAGCACTGGGAACTGAATTCTAACCCTCAGTGAGAGCTGGACGAGGTACTTAGAGCTGAGGCATCGCTCCAGCCTTCAAACAGTGGTTTTGCTCCCCACCGAGGGCAGAAGTAGGCCAATCCAGACCCAGCAGAAGCCTTGGATTTCAGGGGTGAGTACTGGGCAGAGCCAAGCCTGAGCCAACAGGGTTAGGGGACCCACCTGGATGTACAGATTGCCCGCCCCCCAGGATGAAAGGCGGGGCATCTTGTGACAGAAGTATGGACAAGCAGCCTGGTCGACTTGGGGAACTTTCTGGAAGACGAGGACCTCAGCCTCAGCCCCAAACAACCTTATTGGAATTCATATTTAAGCAAAATGACTAGGATACATAAACACAGGTCAGGGTGCGAACAGCTGATAGTCCCTCACCCAGGGCAGGAGGGAGATGGCCAAGGCCACAGCCCAGCAAAGCCAGGCCACTGCCTACCTCTGTCTCTCGCAACCGTGCCTCCAAGGCTGCTCGGGGTCCCTGTGTGTTGTCATTGACCTGAAGCTGTTCCTGCACCACCTTCATCCACGCCCGGGCATCCTCCACACTTCTGTTAAAGTCCTCCTGGGGCTGTTGCGTCATGGTACCTGTGAAGACTGTGAAGGGCCCCATGAGGTCAGCGTTATGGAGAGACCCCAGGTGGCAGCAGGCGCAGCATGACAGAGCTCCCCCATGATGCTCCCCGCTTGGCACAGGTGGAAACAGGCAGGGCGAAAGCAGGTGTCGCCTCTGCTTCCACACAGAGCTCCCCCATGGTGCTCCCCGCTTGGCACAGGTGGAAACAGGCAGGGCGAAAGCAGGTGTAGCCTCTGCTGTAGAGAGAGCAGTAGGCTGGCAGAGACATGCCCTTGTCACGCAGCCTCCCTGTCCCATTCTCTAGCTTGGGAGCAAGGTGGCTCCTATCTACATTCTAGGACCCTTCACAAAAGACTCTCAAAGCTCACAGACAGAGAAGGTGAAACCCAAAATGAGCTTGATTTGAATGGATCCAATTGGGCCCTCAACTGAAGGAACATTGCCTCTGGCATCAGCTGAACCCACAGAAACCCAGAGCATTCCTGAGATTAACATGGGGGGGTACGACACCACTGGAGGGGATCCTCGTAGACACAGGCAAGCAGCTGGCCCAGACAGCCTAATAAAGCCCACCTGTTCCTTAGTGACATCTGCCAGCCGGGGCAAGCCACCCACCCACACCAATCCTCCCAGCTGGGCTGCTCCTAACCTCAGCCTGCACCACAAACCCAAAGTGTTGGTAAAATCCCATTAAGCCGAGACAAAGCTCTTTGCATGCCAGTTCTAGGTGTCAGCTGACAGCAACTATAACCTGCTTTGGATTAAGGTTGTTTACATGCACATTCCGTGTAAAGGGATTGGGTCTGATTTATCTGCCAGTCTCCCAGGACACCTCGCACAGAGCCCGAGGCTGTTGGAATAAGCAGCCCAGCATGGGCATACATGCTAACACTCAACACCTCCCCACACCATTTTCTCATTATTTTGTTCTATGGCAAAATCTGGGGATGGAGCACAAGGCTGTGTGTCTGCTAAAGAAACACCCCGCTACCATGGAGCTGCATCCCAGCCATGCTACCATTTGAGATGACAGAGTGTGTAGGACGTGAGAGCAGAAGTGTCCACAGCTCAGGAGGCAGGGGTCTAAAGGGAGGGGAGCATGAGAGGGTGATGGGCAAGAGGGACATACAATCTACAACATCACATACTCTCTCATACGTGAAATCTGTGCTTGATCATATCACATGCACACACGGGTGTAACGGGAGCAGAAGGGAGACGCTTTGGGATGAGGAAAGTGGGGAGGGGAGCAATGGTATGTGTGAAGTGAAAAGTCACGTGTACTGTGGATCATGAAATTTATTATTCTGTATGCTAGCTGAAAAAAATACTAATAAAAGTAAGGTAGCTAACTGAAAGGAAGCTAGAAGCAACCTCCACACCCAAGCAGAGGGACTTGGTTACACGTATTATGGTGTGTGGTGTACTTGCACTGGAGATGCTACACCCACCCACAGAATGCAAGCAAGCTTAGCAGGGACTTGTGGAGGGGGACCCTGAGGATACAATACCAAGAAGTGAGGCATAGTTATGTGTTTAGTAGCTACAACCCCACACCTAACAAGAATGAGACACCACCAACAGGGAGCTGGAGGGATGGCTCAGCCACTAAGAGCACTGGCTGCTCTGGCAAGGGGACCTGAGTTCAGTTCCCAGCACCAACATGGTGGCTCACAACTCCAGCTCCAGGTGTCTGACGCCCTCTTCTGGCTTCCACAGGCACTGCATGATGCACAGACACACGTAAACAGAAATAAATCTTTTTAAAAAATCAACACGTAAAAGAGAAAAAAACTCACTCATATAAAAAGGTTGGGGACTCCCCATTACTGAGCCCATGTGACTAAGTAAGGGTCAAGAGTGTGCAGAAGTGGCCTAGCCCCTCAAAGGCCTGGTTGTTCATATATAAAACCTGAGGTTTTTCCTATGGGGAGAGCCACCATAATCTCAGGAGCCAGTTGGCAAAGGGCAATTGTCCATGCCAAGATCGCCATGAGGGATTTCCCCACCCCTTATTTGTATCATTTTTAAAATATTCATTTTATTTTTAATTATGTGTATGTATGTGTATGTGCATGTCAACATGGGTGTCTGCAGAGGCCAGAGATGTTAGATCCTATGGGGCTGGAGTTATGGGTGGTTGTGGGCCTCCTGATGTGGGTGCTGAGATTTGAACTCAGGTCCTGTGGAAGAGCAGTGCTCTTAACTCTTAGCCATCTCTCTAGCCCATTCCTTATTTTTAATCTCACAAAACTTTGTGGAAGTTTTCTGGAAAGAGCAACCTTTTTTTTTAACGATTAAAAAAAGTAAGAAAACCCTTTTCTGAACATGACTAAATCACTCAAAAAAGCCTTGGCTGGGAATCTGGCTGGCCTCAATCCCCATGGCACTGGGTGGAGGAATTTGTGGCAGACAAAGAGACACAGACAAAGGCCATGCCAGCAGCGCCGGCCAAAACACATGGGCATGGGCGGGCGGTGCAGAGCACGCCACATCCCTGCTGCCTATCCAGGGCTCAATCCCAATGTGTTGTTTTCCTTTTAGAGCTGTTTCGACATTTTTCTAGAAACTTAATACACACCTGCAGCCACTCCTGTCTCTCAGATTCTTCTGGAATGCGTCTTCACGTGCGCTAGCCTCCACACTGGTTCTTTGGGGGCTCTGAACTGCTGTCTAGCTGCCGCTCTTGTCTAGCTTCCAGTAATTCTGCTCTTGTTTTCTTGAAGCCAGGAATGCAGGGACAGAAAATCATTCCCAGAACCTCAGAGGAAGGAGCCCTTTGATCGCTAGAGCAGTGGGTCTAGCGGAAAGAACCCTTTCAAGGACAGCGCTTACAGAGGAAACCATGCTGGTTTGGTGACCAGCATTGCACCTCTCAGGCCGCAGGGCTCAGCCCGTGCTCAGGTGACACTGACATTGACTGGTGAGGTGGAGGCAGAGTTCAGGTGACGAAGCTGCCACACCCAGGAATTTAATTAACTCGGCGCCCAGCCCACCTGACGCTGCAGCTCCAGCAGTAAATAAACAGACACCGTCCTGGCAGTGTTCAGGATGGACAGCTGCCGGCAGAGCCTGTGTGGCCGCAGGGCGGTAAGCTCCTCAAATGCAAAGAAAACCAGCCACAATAAGACCCAGTTACCAACCACGGAAAATCAAATTTGGGACACACACACACACACACACACACTACTGCTACTATTATATTAACACAGTAAACCACATGATCTAACCATGGACCTTATAAATCTTGTAAGTCAGAAGTAATACTGGACATAAACAACCCTTGGAGACATGTGTGACAGCTGCACCATTAGCTAAAAATACACGTGACAGGAATGCCAGGCCTGAGAATAACGGGGGCTTCGCTGCCGCCTGCGCATGTGGAGGAAAACCATCAGCTCAGAGTCAAGTCGAGGTAACGGTGGAGCGGGTGTTGCATAGAAACTCATGGGCCACTCCCATCACTACAAAGACCCATATGTGACAGCCTGAAGTTTAGCCAAATGGAAAGAGACTGTCTCTGCAAGCAACTGTAAGAAATTGACAGTTGAAAAAGCAAACAATAGACTGGAGGGATGGCCAGGGGGTCAAAAGCACTTACTGCTCTTGTAGAGGACCCAGGTTCGGTTCCCAACACCAATGGAGAAATTAGCAACTTGGCAGTTCACAACTATCTGTTACTAGTTCCAGGAGATTTAATGCTTCTTCTAGTCTCTGCAGGCGCCAAACACAAACACAGTGCATGTACGTACGTACGTACGTACACACACACACACACACACACACACACACACACACACACTTATACACATCTTGGTGGTCAACTGGACTGAACAACTACTGGATTCTTGGACTTTCTGTTGGTAGCCAACCATTGTTGGACTAGCTGGGCCACAGCTTGTAAGTCACTCTAATAAATCCCATACATGTGCACATGCAAGTGTGTATGTATGTGTGAATACATATATGTATGAGATTATGTTTATTGAATATATATTAATATGTATGCCTTGACCTCCTAAATAGTATTTTAAAAAGCAACTGTGCTCACTATATAACCTGTTGCACACTTTATGAAGAACTAGAAGGAGTTTGAAGTTTCCAAACATGAAGACAACAAGCAGAGGGCCATTGAGCACAACAGAGGGATTCTGGGCACAAGAAGGGATGCTGGGCACAGCAGAGGGATGCTGGGCATAGGAGAGGGATGCTGGGCACAGGAGAGGGATTCTTGGCACAAGAGAGGGATTCTGGGCACAGCAGAGGGATGCTGGGCATAGGAGAGGGATTCTTGGCACAGGAGAGGGATTCTGGGCACAGGAGAGGGATTCTGGGCACAGGAGAGGGATTCTGGGCACAGGAGAGGGATGCTTGGCACAGCAGAGGGATGCTGGGCACAGGAGAGGGATGCTTGGCACAGCAGAGGGATGCTGGGCACAGGAGAGGAATGGAGAGGGATTCTGGGCACAGGAGAGGGATGCTGGGCACAGCAGAGGGATGCTGGGCACAGGAGAGGAATGGAGAGGGATGCTGGGCACAGGAGAGGGATGTGGGCACAGAGAGGGACACTGGGCACAGGGAAGGGATGCTGGGCATAGCACACATTGCACGCCTGCACTGAATTTGCACACTGTGCCCATAAATGTCGACAGTATAATGTGTCATTTAAAAGAAAACATAAACTTAAGCAAGGTTTAAAAAGAATACTTTCTCAGGGTAGGAGAGATCATTGAGAGGTTAAAAGCACACACTGCTTTTGAATCCCAGCACCCACATTGGGCAGCTCACAACCACTTCTGTAACTCCAATTCCAGAGGAATCCTACACCTCTGGGTCTCCATGGACACTGTACTCACAATGTGTACACCCACACACACACATAATAAAAATTAAATAATGGATGGGCAATAGTGGCTCACACCAGCACTTGGGAGGCAGAGTCGGGCAGATTTCTGTGAGGCCAGCCAGGTTTGTTTCACAGAAAAACCCTGTCTCAAAAAACCAAAAACAACAACAACAA